CAAGCTTTTACCATTCACACTAGCTAATATCCAGACCAAGGCAAGAACAGGAATTACGTAAACAGGAACGTTTTTTCTAGGGCCTGATAGATTTTTTGAGGTAAACCAGTTCAAAGTGACGACATACTAAATATACAAAAAACGAATCTTATTACACATTTTTGATAATTAATTAACAGGAAATCTCTTGGGTAACACTGAAATAAATAACTCCATTTGTTGAGCCAACAAACACGATTACCCACAAGAAAAAACAACTAAGAAAGTATGTACTATTTTATTTTTAAAAGATGCGAATCGTGTTATTACAAAGCCCATAACATCCCATATAAACAAAGACTTGCCCCTGAGCCAAGGTACTGAGAAATAATGACTGAGCTCCCTTTTAAATAAGCGAAAAAACTGTTTAGGGGGAAAATACGACTATCAATCTATCAATAGACAAATCAGTCATCACAGCGGCCCATTAAATGATTACAAAACACTCAACATAAAAATAAAGAAATGTACACATATTAAGGCCATTCAAGCGAACCAGCTCATTCAGTGTTAAAATACAAGTATTTACTTCCCAAGGCAAATCACATTTTATTTATGTACTTCATTTCTACTGTTGGCTACCTACTTGTTGCAACATACAGCGATACTGAAATGCGTAAATCTTCACATTCATAAAATCGTCTATGAACGAAAATCGTAAAATATCGTGTTATCACAAAACTCACAAGAATTTCCAAAAAACATATTGTTTGCACTCCATCGCAGTTATTTTTATTGGGTTATGATTAATAACTAATACTTAAAAATATGACAGCCGAAAACACATTCATTTTCTCTTTAACTTGTAACTACGATAAAATTCTAGGAATAATTGTGGAATACAGTTTGCAGAACAATTTACAAACTCAGACAATATCGTAAATAATAGCTACTTACAGCCAGATATCCACCTTGATATAATGAGAGTTTGTGTCAGTGTTTCTTAGAATATGAAGTGTGCTCTTGACGGTCTCTTAAACCATTCAACCCTTTATCAAGCTACTACTTGAACATTTTAATTACGTATGGTTAAAGTAAGCCCCTTATTACCTTTGATTATCAAAAAGTGAACCGCTACAAGCAATAAACCTGTGGAAGTCATCATCATTTTACAAGTTTTGAACAAATAGTCAATAACGTTATCAGCAAGTTGTAAATTAATTATCAGCACCTTAAACGTCAATCATAGAGTTGATACTAAGACTGAACTTGAGCAAACTGTTCCTGGTATCGGCAATATGTCAAGCTAATAAAGTTGACCCTTTCTCTAAGACTGCATTGTTTATAAAATAAAAAGGGTCTCAGTATCAACATAATAAACATAAGATTGTTTTCCTACGACCTCTTTACATAATTGTGTAGTTGAGACACTACCTCGTAATAAAGTATGAATGAACCCCGATTCAATTACTATAGAAATACATAAGACATTTGGGTTACCGATTTAACAGTATGGGTAAGGGTATCGCAAGCCGTTTGCGATAGTAGCTGCAATTTGAGTAAGTTCCAAACGAACCGATTTTGACATTGCTCAGTCATGTATGAGTTCTTCCAACATGATTTTGTTGTTATTGTTTAGTATAGTTTTCACTGTTTTACGAAAAGTGAAAGATGTTGTGTCTTCATAGGCGAATTAAGTTTACCTGGAAAGTCATACTCGCTTACCAGTCTCAAAATCGTAGATGGTGCAAAGAGCATAAGAGCAAGGTGTCAGGTGTTATTTTTGATATATACATACCAGACTTCAAAGTTAACGTCTTTTAACAGATTTAGAATCCACGGTCTCTTTATTGAGCGCTTCCACGCATGTCACTGGAATGTGGATTTCCAATCACGTAAGTCCTGAAAGTCACGAGACTCGATTTCTTGGGCTTGATTTTTGAAGTGATGAATGTCGTATCTGTTGGTTATCTGTTTTGGTTTCAACTGGCCTTGCTTAGTTTTATATAACTCAAGCATTTTTGACGGTGGTTTATGATTGAAACAGTGGGGGATTTGAATATTTTATTACTTTGTTATTGGGCCTTGAGAGGTGTCAACTCGACATACTTTATTAGAACAATGGGTCACACAACACCCGAATCTGTTGATTTCAAATAAAAAATATAGTTTTTTATTTATTCACCTTATTATTTGAACTATAAACAACATCAAGCTGTCATAAATGACAAAGGATATCACTCGACCTTTTGTTGTAATTAACAATACGACTACTACGATGTATAGGAATAAGTAAGCAGAAAAATGCAATGTGTTTGTTGGCACATATATGATCAATCACATTGGCATTCGAGTAAACGATATGATACGCTCGGTAAATAATGAAAACATAAATTAATACAACAATTAATAAAATAAAATGTACTCACTTTAATTTCCAGAATACTAGTAGCTGTTGACGCCTTGTATTGACCTACTAGACTGGGGCTGTTATGATCTGGAATTGTGGCTCCTGGTAGATAAAGTATTTTGTTACGTAACTGATGATAATTCTTTGAAGTTTAACCATTAATAAAGAGAGTACGTTTCATCGTATATTTCACTTATTGCTTAGTTGTATACTTATATCGCAACATAAGTCATTTTAAAGAGTTCCGTGTTTAGTTCAACGCCCTCGCAGTATAATTTTCTCATTGGTACAGTGTATTTGAAGTAACGCCACTTTAACGTTGCCTAAATACTCTAAAACTAAACGAGAAGCACCATACTAATGAATCATTTACTCGGTTGTAAAAAACAAGCAAGGCCTACTTAAAAAGATATTACGACCATAAAAACTTAATAAAATGTAATTTACTAGAATGTTGGCATTGCGAAAAACATTCAATGAAATCAATAGGCACTTTCCAAAATAATAAGACGATCGAAGTAGATCAAAATTCAAATCTTTAAAGTTAATAAAGTAGTGTAGTTTGTCACTAATTGGACATTGGAATAAAAATGTGTAAATTATACGATGGAAACCTGCTTATAACATATCTTTTATCAACGTAACTTATAGCAACAGCTAAGAAATGAGAATAACGCTAATCCATGGATTATGTCTGGATTACAATTATGAGACAATACAAACAGATATAGTTACAATTTTATCGGCAATTTCAATGCTACATAGCATTAATAGGGTATTGAATAACTAAATGACACTGAATGTCCCCCTTTGTCAGAGAATGACGGCAATGCGGTAAATATAGGCATTATATGTCATATTCCGCAGGTGAATATGTCATATTCCGCAGGTGAATATGTCATATACCACAGGTGAGCCATACTCCTTAACCAATGAGAACTTGTTACGGAAGTAAACAAGTCGATTGCATCGACTGAACGAACGGGTAAACGTTTATAAATTATTATAATGATTGTTGATTCAACAATACAGTACATTGAATATATCGTTTGGGAACTAATAAAATTGAATATCATGCACCACTGAGTATCTGTATCGTTTGTTTGTTTGTTTTTTTGTTTAATGTATGTGTTACACAAACACGCACCAAGGTAAAACATTTCACATAATATACGAACATACTCCCCTCCATAAGTTTGGCAACCTTAGCTCCCCCATTTAACTACGTGTTAAAGCCTCTTTACCTTTGAATTTTTATTAACTTAACCTGCGATGATAATACTTAGACTATTGATGGAAACGTAATTTGACTTTATTTCCAATACCTCCAAATTTTCTCAATTTTTTCATCAGTTGATATCCCTCACAAATGTAAATTTTCGTTATTATAAATAACAAAAAATAGGTTTGTAATATGAAGAGTATAATAAATAAACAATATTAACTTGAACTCCAAGAACGAGGGATATATCTGTCACAAATACAATTCCCTGGGAACCCAGAGCAACAGATATATCGGTCGCAGAATTTTTCTCTTTTGATGATAAATGTCCATAAACCGGCAAAAATGAAAAATGCTCTGGTTTTAAACCCTTTTAGAGGCTGGTATTAATTAATAATGATGTTATTAATTTACCCAAATGTCATTTGAACAAGTAAAATTACCGGTGAGATAACAATAAAATGTCAATTCTTCGTTGTTTTGTGATCATTCTTGCTGTTCAAGTCAAATAATAAGTATTGTTTGCACAGCTTTTGTTGTAAATGGATATATAAATATTAAGAGATTCGGTTTCCTGACCGTTGGCTGTGGATTTTCCTAGATCCTCCACAAGGTCAAACATACCAACCGCCAAATGCCGAACACCAACCGCCGAACACCGTCCACAAAAATAATGGAGACCATAACATTATTTCAACACTATTGGTGGTGACATAAAAAGGTCTTATTGGCTTTCGTATTTTCTCTCACAATTTCGATGTTTAGTATTAAATACACTAGAGAGTAGTACATGTATCAATTGTTTTGTAGACATAAGTAAAACGAATGACTGTTTATCTATTATTATTCTTCACCTATTTGCTCAGTTGATTGATTGTTCAAATTAACAATATTATGTAAATAATCGCAATTGTTCGTTATATGGCATATATCAGAAAACCAGACAGGTTCTATTTTCCTTCGTTTGATGTCTAACCCATTTAGTTATAATGTTCCCCATAGGAAACTGTATACACGCCCAGGCTCGTAGCCGGGGGAGGGGACAAAAATCCTTTCAAAATCATGAAGTTTTTCACCATTCTGAGAACAATTAGTACCCCCTGGAACTTTTCAAAAAGTGAATTGGAGAAAGCACGCCTGGTTGGAATGCATACCATCTTCCTCAAAATGCAAGGAGTCGGTTCAAGAATTGAGCTTTTTATGACAATGTGGTGGGGGTATAGTGTTATATCCTTGAAATTACTTTTCCACTAGAGATCACTTAATCTTAGTTGTTTGTATCCCTCTCTTACAATCCATCTATCTTTAAGCGTAAAACAATTAACAAATATTTTCGATATTAGCTCAGTATAATATTCATAACAAATATTTCAAAGTTCTTTAATTCTATCTCACATATCCAATACTACATGCACCAGTTGATTTACTTGAATAATACTTAATACATATACACTGTCCTTTTCCATAATGCAATAACTTGTCTGTCCACACTTCCTTAGTACCCACAATTCGAAAAATTAATTAAAACAAAATTGATAAAGATAGTATCCTCATTTGAAAACCTATTCAAAAGGACAAACTAAGTATATCAATTCATTAAATAATGATATAAATACGAGCCACCATATTGTACAATTCTGTTCATTTGATCATATGCCGTCGGTCGTCACAATAGACACTGGTGATACTTTGTTCCCACACAGTATAGTCTTTACTTCCTTTTGGAAACGAGAGTTACTGAGGTAATACAACACAACGTTGACAATGCTGTTCAATTGGTGTAGAAATACTGTAAAGACCCAAGCCTTCCCCAAAGCTAGCCTAAGAACGGGGTCTTCTTTTAGTGTTGTGTTGTTCAGGCAAATTACTATGGTAATTGGAAGGTTCAAGATTATGAAGGTCATTGTGATGGAGAGCATCATTATTGATGTTGCACGAGCTTTTTGTTTGTACGCTTCGGACGTGCTGTGGGTTGTGGACCGCAAAAACAAGAGCTTCTTTACAAAGAATCCATTACATATGGCAATTATTATGAATGGGATTAAGGTACTCATGCAAAGATCAATAATCGACCACACAAACCCATCGCCCAATGGTCTACAGGCGCACCTGCGTCTGCGGCAGGTTAGTTGAAAGTTCCAAAATATGTGCATGTTCACCAATGTTAACGCTGCTGCTATAATTGCAATAATAATGGCAGCCACCTTCCTTGTGAATAATATGCGTGCTCTGAGGGGCCAGTAGAGAAACAACAATCGTTCGAGTGTAACAGCAACGAGAATCCATGCCGAAAAGTGAACACTGAAATACGTGAGAAAATTTTCAATTTTACAACCAGCCGCCGAAAATGTATAAACATGAATGTTCTTCCACATTCGCATCCAGTAATCGAACGTCGTTGTACAAAGAACGAGAATGTCCGATATAGCCAACGTTACTAAATATAGGCTCCATGACAGTCTACGTAAACTTTTCCGCAGCAGTATAATAATGGACAAAATGTTTCCGATAATTCCTAAAATCAGCAAAATTGGACCTGCATACGTCCATAACAATCTTCCAGGTCCCGCCATCGAAGATCTATCCAGCTGTTAATTTGTGATACCGCCGCAGTTTGTAGTAATGTTTATTAAGTTATTATTTATTGAAGATCAATGCAGAGAATGGAGGCCGTGATTAACATCCGCATGTCATTGCCATTGTTGTCTCAAAGCTGATCAAACTATGTGAAGTCAGATACTATTATTAAGTGAGCAATACAGTATGTTAATAAAAACTATGAAACGTGGGCGATGGCAAAATATAATTTCATATAGAGGAACACAATTTCGCACTTTCTCCAAGAATCTTTCTTTTCCTATCAACAATAGCGTAATCGAGGACCTGATTAATGCCTTAGTTACTACCAACATTTTTCTCAAGAGCAGCAGTGTTGTTTGATATATATCACATTCTTTATAAGTTATTATTTATCCACATCTAGGCTATAAACATCAAGCTGTAAACTGTTCCTAGCCTTGAATTGAACTACGTAATACAGAGCGTAGTCCGACAACCAAGGAGACTGGAACTGCACTTCAATTTAGGGCCCCTAAAACCCAAAGGTGGGCCCAAATTTTGAAATTTTGAGGCCCATTATCTTAAAAATAAGGCCTTAAAAGGCCCATTATCGACCAAAAAGCCCACTTATTGGACCCTGAAGGCCTTTTTGGTCCAAAAATTTGTTGGGCCCAATTTGTTGGGCCCACCCAAGGGCCCCCCCCCCAGATCCGCCAGTGCTACCAACCCCTCCCAAACACCCATTAAAAGCCAATTATGTTATATTAGAGAATTTTCGTTATAAGTTGTTTCAAAAACGTATACGTATACTTATAGTTTAAAGGGTCTTGTCGAACTAAAATCAATTCAAATTGATTTTCATAATCTGTACCAAGTGGGGCATAACTATTCCCGATATAGTCAAGCTCCATCATCAACTAGGGACTGCGAATACAATGTCCTTTGCTAGTGTCAATTATGAACACGATAAACTAAACGCTAGTTGACGGGTCCTTGTAGTGTACGATAAACAATACCCTTTGAAGTGAATCACTACACGAACGAGTCGATCATTTCAAAGTTCTCATGAAATTATAAGGTCAATTTTTAAGTTTTTACGTATAAAAGGTGATTCAAAACGATCATCTACAAAAAATATATTTGAGAGTAGATAAATCTGTAAAACCCGTGTGCTATATCAGCCTATTTGATTCTAGAAAACACATATGACACACGGAAAATAAAAAAGAATTAATAATAGCGTAATAATGAGTAAATACTTGTTGACGTCGTGCACGTATATTTACATGTAGTTGTACATTTATAACTGGAATCTGGACACATGGCAAAGATCAATCCAGGATTTCCAATTCCAAAACATCAATTGCAAAATTTAAAATTTAGAGGGATCATTTTTAAAAAAAATCCAAGGGGTACCCTTTAACAACTTTGGCCCGAAAATGGCCAAAATCACTTAAAAAGTGCTTAGAATGGTGACAAATTGCATGACTTGAGAACTCTATTTTCTTGGGGGGGGGGGGTTATTCGGAGGGATGACTTGCGAATAATGTATACTGCGCATCTAAAAGTGACTATAAAACAGAAACCCGGAATATGTTTTTGTATATAAATAGGAAACGTTACTGGCTTTCTTTTTATCGTATATTTACTCATATTACACATCTACCTGGCTTTTGAGTTTTTGATTTCACAAAGATGTCAGGTATATGCAATATGCTGTGGAAATCATCTAGTAGTGTGTGGACTGCTATCCAAGTTATATACTAGAAGTGTTGAGGTCATTCAAGAACCATAGTTGAGGGTACTGTGATCGGTTTGAGCGATATGAACTCACTATATTCCATCTATTTTGTTCTTTAGAGTCGAAAAGCTTGACATGATTGACGCTTTTGATTCAATACTCTGATGTTGAGTTCCTTATTGCATCACTTATATCGATGTCTGAATTTGTCTGAATCGTACATATTTTTGAGAGGGGTTTCACTTATCGTGCAAGAGCAATACCACCTCCGTGCTTCGTGCTTGCAATGCAACTCATAACTGACTTATATGATTTCGGATGCGTTTTAATGCAAACCATCGGTTAAAATCTGTTGACTAATGCGTCAAGTATTTTATATCTATCTATATATTTTATATACATAAGGTATAAACCATATGTACATACTTAATCTATATCTACTGTCAATTGTGATCTCTGAACAAATGATCTCTCAAATGGTTGTAATTAGACGATGAGGTAGCGGTAGCATCTTATATCGTCTGTGGTTCATTGGATGAGATGCTTACATCGACCTTGGGGAAGATGGTTTGCACTCAACTAATGAGATAAGTGTATTATATAATGTATAAAATGTATGTACATACTTAACCTTTTTTACTTTTTAATTATGATCTCTGCACAAAATGATCTCATTAAGGGTTGTAATTGGACGATGAGGTAGCGGTAGCATCTTATATCGTCTGTGGTTCAGTGGATGAGATGCTTACATCGACCTTGGGGAAGATGGTTTGCACTCACCTAATGAGATAAGTGTATTAAAATTGTATGTACATACTTAACCTTTCTTAATCTAACCTTTTTTACTTTTTCAATTATGATCTCTGCATAAATGATCTCATTGAGGGTTGTAATTGGACGATGAGGTAGCGGTAGCATCTTATATCGTCTGTGGTTCATTAGATGAGATGCTTACATCGACCTTGGGGAAGATGGTTAGCACTCATCTAACGTAGTCGTATAAAGTGTGTTTTATATATTGTATATATTTATTCTATGTTCATTTAACATTAATGTTATATCAGCATTATTTTCATTGTACACTGTATACATGTATCTCCTTTTCATAAAGGGCAATAAAGATATACATACACATAACATCTGACTTGCAGCGGACTGGCGGAGTGGCCGATTCCCATCAAAATATTACTACTTACAACGTCGCATGTGGTTGCAACATGTAAAATGGCTTCTGGTTATCGAACAAATACCCGGTCGTCGACAGATAGCTTTGCGATAGTTTAATGCCTAGGTCGATTTTCTTCGGAACCTACCCGACAGTGTATCATACGATTACCGAATGATCATCGTGGATGTTTTGTAAAATGTTCGTATTCCCAGGAGTCCTGTAGACAGCCTGATATCCGGACTGGTGCCATACAGCAATCACGAGATAGCTGTACGGACATCTTACGGCTTCATTTATTACGACAAACACAGACATTGATTGTCAGATAGCCTTGCGCGCGATAGTTTTGCGATCCCGCAGATTACCGTACGCCTACGCAAACAATTACAAATTAAGCCCGGTATACATCAATGGGGCAAGTTGGGACCTCCATAGACTCAACATTGCGTGGGACCTCGTTGGACCATTTGGGATTTTGCCCCATGAAGTCCGTAGGACTCTGAGGGATTTTGCCCCATCTCGATGGGGCAAGATGGGGCACTTTCCATGGGGCATCGTGGGATTTTCGATCATATGACGTGTTGTGTGAAACCCGACATACACCAATGGGGCAAGTGGGATTTTGCCCCATTGGTGTATACCGGGCTTTACATATGAACAGCATGACGCGATACGTCTACGCGGTGTGCTCCGTGCGTTTATTCATTTATGACCACTGTCTGAGCTTTCAGTTGCAGAGGTATTAACCCGCTCTGGGCTCTTAAGGACAGTTGAGCAACGTGTGTATGTGTAGGAATATATAAGCACAAATGCCAAATGGAAAGGGTGGCCAATTGAAAGGGTTGGGAATGTCAGTTGTGCATCCTCCGGTGTGTTTGAGCGTTAACATCAGCTGCCCCTAGTCAGATCGACTAACAAAACAACTATTTGGGGTTATCGAGTTGGCCGAGAGGGCTTAGGCGCCAGCACGTTCAGGCTAGGCGATTGGGCGCCGTAAGCACGAGGTTGCGAGTTCGAGACGCGGTGTGCTCCGTGCGTTTATTCATTTGATTATCGCCTCGCAACATTGCAAGCGTTGTTGCCATCTTTATTTCCATATGAAGTAAATATACCTTGTACCTATAAGTAAAGTACAACAATATTATATCAAGTATAGGCCGTTCAATAAGTAATGACACTAAGGCTCTCATTTTGTCAAATATATATTGAAACAGATATTGGTGTTTGATGCACAAATTATTCTTATGTGTTTATTCATATATGTTAGATTCTATTTTCTTCCATAAAATAGTCAAGTATATTATCATCTACATTTTGTAACAGCTCATGCTAGTCAGTTCATTCACAATCGTATCCAAATCTTCGAAAGACTTCAAATCCCATCGGTTTTTAGGAGAAGATGGAAATGCAGAAAATTCCATTTCTGCCAACTTCTTCTTTTCAGCCACCTCCTCGGGTGTGCCCGTACTCTCACTCAAGTTTGGTAAAGTAACAACGTTTATGATCGCGCCATCATCCTTCAAAGCTTTAGCGGCTGCAATTGCTTTGGGGGCGTCTTCCGCAGGATATGACCGCCCATCTGTCATCAAAATGACTACATTCTAAAACACAGTGAAATAAAGACTTTTCAAAAGTTAAAATAGGGCATTGGACGATATTTACAATAGATGGGCAATAATGGAGAACACTTATTCAAAAGATCATTAAATATAACGTCTTCCCTCGTGTGGTAGCGATATCTATCATTAGTTTCGTCTGACTAACAAAACAATTGTAGACCTCTTCATTTGGTCAACCGACAAAATCCTACACCTCGACTGTGCGGTATCTGTGATACGGGCGAATATGCCATACTCACCTGCGGTATATAGCATATTCCGCAGGTAAGTATGGCATATTTCGCAGTGAATATGCGATACATTGATTTCAGTGAATACCCGATACTCACTGTGTTTTATATGTCATTCTCACCTGCAGAATATGGCACACTCACTATGTGCCATGTGAATATGCCATATACCGCAGATGAAAACGCGATACAGAAAGCATCGATTTGATTGGGCAAAAGAATAGATTCTAAATGTAAAACTACGCTGGATTACCAATATTATTAGCGTTTCGAGTGCAAATTTATGAATCCTGGATTGATTCAGTACGTTTATCGCGTGTAATTGCTGAATGATACTTTTGAAAGTATCAGATATGTGTAAATCGTGATGTCCAATACAAAAATACTTGTGATGTCTAAGGTTTTTATCTGGTCTTTGTTGATTTGGTTATAAAAGTCACTCATAAGCTTTACCATGGGCTTTCAACTAGATGGCTTTACGAACGTAGGTTTCTTTATTTATGGGTAATACTAGAGAGGTTAAGCTACACGTATAAATGCAAACCGTGAACCTAAACGCGTAAGTCCACGCTCAAGGAAACGTTTGAGAAGATTTTCAGTTAAGCTACACGTCTGAAACCATGTCAGTGGACGTGGAGCTATATTTATGTGGTGACTGTGTCTAAAGGTCATGCCTCTATGGTGTAATGGATAGCACTTCGGCAATCTAGCACTTCACGCATGTTCGTTAGGCCTGGGTTCGAATCTAGTCGCAATAAAACATTTTGTTTTTATTTTTGCTTTATTTCATATTCAACCACAATTAAAGGGTCTAGTGCACTTTCCATTATGGATTCCCCATGAACAAAATGAATCATTTTTAACTGTAACATAAAGAATACAATGTCACATAATACTTTGGAAAATATTCAAGCGTTTGGACCCACATCGGCTGAGGTTGAGCTCATTAAGTTCAGCAAGGGTGTATTGACTTGACATTGGATGTGTTCTATTGACTTAACATGTGAATATCATCAGATTCCGATGGAGACCATTGGTTTATATTGATTTTCACAAAAATACCTAAAATACACTATGACCTGAATCGATTGCAAATTAAATAATTTCACAATATGACACAAATGGTATATCACATCAGATGTGCAAATATAAAGTTTGCAATCGATTCAGGTCAAACTTCAAATTAAAAGATAAATCATTTTTTCCTACAAAATGGCAATAGAAAATGCTTCAAAAGTAGCTTTTACACTTATGAAATCCCATACAACTTTGTAAATACAAAAATTATACTGTTATGTTTCATTAATTAATAACATTTTTCGATAAGATGTAGGAATGTGTAGGATGCAAATGGATTTTGACAGACACAAAAATACTTCATGGTTTGGCATCTCTACCCCTGTACATTTTATGATTGAATATTGGCCCTAATAAGTGGCCCATTCAGTGCTGAATATAGGTCAACAATTCAAGATACTAGTGTACATATAAATGTAATAATAAAAGCAGTATATTTATTTTGAAAAATCAGATGAATTTATTTTTGTTCATGGGGAGATCATAATGCACTGGCCTGTTGATTCGCGTAAATACTTGCATATGATTGGTAAATTAGCTTATAAGGATTCCGAGGCAATACGATCCAATGCGAGTTTTTCCGGGGCATTGGTCATTTTCTGAGTGAATACAATTATAAGAGGGGAAATACGCTTGCATTTCCCTAGGAAACAGTTATGTTATGGAATAAACAGTTTTATTATTTCCATGCCGTGAATACATCCCTCAGACATAAATACAGATATTCAACTCCACAGAATTCAATATTTGTATATAGTATTTGCTGTTATTGAGTATTGCATCAAAAATAACGTTCTCAACATACTGAATACGTAACATGAGTTGATTAAACTGAATACAATACTTGGAGATTTGCAGGGTATTATTTTTGAGAAACTTGCTTCTGTTTTCTGGGGGATTTCCTCATAATTTCAGCGGAGCTTCCTCATGGTTTAAGCGGAGCTTCCTAATAAAGCTTCCAAGGAAGTTAAACTACAATCGAAACAATAATCCATGTTGTAAAAACTTCATTATGAAAAAATTTCAAGCATTTTCATGATGAAAGCTACTGAATGGCAAAGGGAACTGTACCTATACAATGCCCGATGAAGTAAATTAATTAATGTGGTATCTAGTAATTATTTAGATCGCTTTACTGAAAATATATAGAGATTATCCTATATGAGGTTCAGGATATTGGGATTATCCCGAGGCCAATATAATAGGTCCCGAGGGTAGATATACTATATTGGCCAAGGAATAATCCAAATATCCTGAACCGACTATAGGATGATCTGTTTATCCCATACCAATCACATTTATCAATTGGCCAAAGTTCAGAAACTTTGCAACCAACCGTGGATTTAATTCAAAATATTCATGTCCAGTTTTGTATTCTTGTCCGTAGCCGGATTTTCCTGTTCAAATTTTTGATTATTAAGGGAGCATACTGCTCATTCCTTTCTTTGAAGCATCAAACAGATCGCGATTGTCTGCGTTTTTCTCCATTGTCGTTTACAGTATGCGAACGTTACAAATAAGAACCAATACGGGAACAGCGATTATGACGTAGCGGGCAGATAAACTATATCTGCCCGCTCAGAGCGGGACGTAAAGCTATATCTGCCCGCTGATGAAAATATAAGTTTTTACAAACCGGCTTTATGTACCCGTAACACGTCAAAGTATGGGATAAAGACATTTATATGGTCGGGACACGGAACAAAATATTATATTATTTCAAGATAAAAATTCATATGGTTCATTTGTAGTTTGTTTTCAGTGGAACAAGTCATTATTACTTTTTATGCCAAAAGAAAACTGTCACTTACGTGGTTATATTGTGATTGATGTCATATTGCTGTCCCCCTTCCAGATTTCGTTCTTTATTTGATTTATTTTTCCAAGCTGCACTTCACAGTTTTTGGAATTAGTAATACTGAGTGGTAGGCGTTTCCATGAGTGATTGATATATCAAAATGTAGAATTCATTTAGACTGAGGAATACATTTTGAACAAAATGTATTTGTCAAATGTTAACCCCCCCCCCCCCCCCTATCACACCAAACTAGTTTTCAACCGTTCGTTCCAGTTCTAAGAAAAAGCCATACAACGGGTCAAATCTGGCTCACGACTTCAATTTACGCCTGACTGCAGAACGTCGTAATACGTCCCTAGTAGGATTGAAATACGACAGTTCAGTTCGTAGTGTGTCCCCATTGCGTCCAGGTCATCTTAAGCCCGGTATACACCAATGGGGCAAAATCCCACTTGCCCCATCGAGTCCCATCTTGCCCCATCGAATCCCAATTTGCCCCATCGAATCCCACGAAGTCCCATGGGACCTTGATGACTTTGCCCCATCGTGCCCCATGGAGTCCCATCAAGCCCCATGGAGTCCCATCAAATCCCATCGTACCCCATTGGTGTATGTCGGGCTTCACACAACACGTCATATGAGCGAAAATCCCACGATGCCCCATGGAAAGAATGAACATGTTCATTCTCGATGGGACTCCATGGGACTCCGTGGGATTTTGCCCCATCTTGCCCCATCGAGTCCCACCGAGTCCCACGTGGGACTTCATGGGACCTCATGGGACCTCGTGGGACTCGATGGGGCAAGATGGGGCAAAATCCCACGAAGTCCCATGGAGTCCCACGGACTTCATGGGGCAAAATCCCAAAAGGTCCCACGAGGTCCCACGCAATGTTAAGTCTATGGAGGTCCCAACTTGCCCCATTGGTGTATACCGGGCTTTAAGTACGTTGTTACTCGTTCTGGTTGCAGAAAGTGACGTCACCAAGAAACGTCACCAGAAAATTTGAAGCATGCTCTAAGTTCTGGATGACTTACTCGTTCGGATAGTTTGATAAAGTTTGTAAACAGACTACAAACGGTTCAAATCCGTTTGTGCACAGTTTAAGCCCGTTTTCGAGAACGTAGTGAGAACTAGTTCGGTGTGATTTAGGGTAACACTACTATCACACCAAACTAGTTCTCACTACGTTCTCGAAAACGGGCTTCAACTATGTACGAACGGAATTGACGTACTTAGAACCGTTTGGGGTCTATTTACAAACTTTATCGAACGTACTCGAACGGGTAGGTCCTCTAGAACTTAGAACATGCTCAAAATGTTCTCTTGGTCGTCACGTTCTACAATTAGAACGATTGACAACCTACTAACGACGAGCTGGACGTACTTCAATCCTACTAGGGACGTTTTTACAACGATTTGAACTGTCTGAGGACGTATTGAGAACGAGGTAGAACTTATTGCGAACGGGTTAAAACTGATTAAGAACGTATGTATCAACGAGTTAGCAAGAATATAGCTATCACACCAAGCAAGTTGCCACTGCGTTCTTCAAAACTGGTTTTAAACTGTGTGCAAACGGAATGAACGTAGCTACAACGTTCTACGGTCTGTTTACGAACTTCATGGACTTTCCCGGACGGGGAATGTGATTTAGAAATTTGAATCGATTTAAAATTCGATGGCGACCATACCGTTCTGTAATCAGATCATGATGACCTTCTAGACTAAGGGACGCGTTATACGACGTTGCACACCGACCAGGTGCGACCTGAACGAACTGCGAATGAGATGGACGTATTGATGACTGTTTATGAACGAAGTAGCTAATTATTTTAGACATATTTCCCGAACACAGCCAGATTGAGCCCGTTTTATGACGTTTTCGTTGGACTTGCAAGAACGGGTAAGAACTAGTTTGGTGTGATAAGGGGTAACAGGTATGCAATCACGAACTAACCTTTCTCTCTGGTCGGTCCCCGTTCGCCTTATTGAATAGTTCTTCCCTGGCAGCTTGTAATGCCAAATATGTAGCCGTCCCACAGTCTTTTGCTGCCAAATCTTCCGTTCTCAGGTTTTGTCGGAGCAGATTCATAACCTTCAAGTCCAGAAAACTATTATTTCAATGCAATGTTAATTAATATCAAAATGTATTTATTTAATCAATACTTTCGAACATTTTGTCATCGTATGTCAAATTGTAGCACCTACTTTACATGTATGAGGAAGCTTAGTTTCCAAAACTGCATGTCACCAATACGTTAATATTGACGTTTTATGAAAAAATCTGAGTATGCAACACGTCAAAAGTAAAAATAATTTTTATCACTTTTTTGTTACAAATACCAAAACTTTGTGGAAAATAAAAACACAAAATTTTACTAAATTTTCTACTCCATCACTGCTGGTCATTGTATGGTGGACAAGATAAAGAATACCAACAGAGATTCAACGATATTGTATTTCAAAGATGTTAGAGCTTTCTACGCGCTCAAGTGGGGATCGGTTTTTTTTAACTTCGCATTAAACGCATCCGAACTAGAAATATTAAATCAGAATAAACAATATCAACGTGGGAACGTTGGCTACACATACGTATTGATTTAATTCGATCATAAACGATCACACTTACATCCTTTTGTTTTGTTGCAGAATTAAAATGCAACAATGGGTACACCGTCTTAGCATATGAAACTCCAGCAATTTGTGTGAATGCAGGACGGACAGGTAGACGCCTTGTAATTGCTAGGACAAAGTCTTTCACTTTCTCTTTGTTCTCCTTTGCAAGTGAACAGGAAACATCGATGACAAATGCCAGGTCAACTCCACACACATTAATTTCAATATCACCTAAACAAATACAATTTATTTTTAGGGATTTAAGCCCTGAGTGGAATGAATCAGCCACAATGCATTGGGTCTTGTGCTTCAATTCTTTTCACATATTGCAAAATTACTTTTTACAAGGGTCAAGTTGGCAAAGTGTCGATTTCAATATGTAGAGTCATCAAGTTGTCACCTTGACAACCATTCAACAAATGACCTTGGGTGGATTGCTGATTTTAAAATGCAATTTGCAGTTATATGAAACATCGTGTTCGGATTGGCTGAAATCGGACACACCTTGCATAGACATGTGTGAAATTTCTGAAATGTGAACGATTAATTAACACCTTAAATATCTGCACTTTTTATTTATTTGCATTAGAGCTTATACGAGTAATATAAACGTAATTATGATATTTGAACATTTTTAATTTTTATTTAAGAGAGGGGTTTAAATAATGTATTTTATTTACCTATGCCTTTCTCCAACAGACTTCGTTTGCATTTTGGATTGGATGCGACGCATGGGTACTGTCCACTCGTAATTTTACTTCCGAATGATTGAGTTACACCCATACCATCGGGACACACTCTCATCAGATACTCAACACCATCACATTCATAGAATTGACATTTTTTCAACCCGTTAATATCTACAGGTGCATATTTTCTTGTCGCCCCTTGACAACCAGCTGTAAGAATTTTTTTTGAATTTCAATATCAGCATGACTAAAATTGAGTGAACAAACGTTGGTCATCTCACTTCTAATAACTTTATGAAATTCAACTTCAAAGTAAAATTCAAATCAGTCGCTATCCATATAATAACATAGATGCGTATTTGCACTCTAAGAAGATTGGGACTAAATTGTGACTAAACGTAAGCTTATATGAGAATAGCTTTTTGAGAGGAATATTTTGAATTAATTATAGATTACGTTAGAGGTACAGTGTAACCTAGTTTGCTCCAAGACTGTGCCCCCCTCCCCCTTATCTATTTCTCCAACACATTACAAGAAAAGAAGATGGGGGGGGGGGTCCAGGGTCTTGAAGCAAGACTAGAAGTAACTCGAGGCTGAAAGTATTAGTTCTCCCTTGTATGGACTTAAACATCGTAGTTGCTAAGTATAAAAACAAAATAATTTCGAACTGATGTCATGAAGTTTATCCCGAATGGAGAAAATAGAAACGACTTACGTCGATCGATAGCTTCACTCTGGCCCTGCTTGTTTCCTGGAAAATATTCAAATAAATCAAATGCTACCCACAATGCAAAATTGGTAGCAACATCCATACGTTGGTTTGTGTAAACAGCCCAAATGGTTGTCTTCAATTCCATAGATATAGATGAAGGTTTTAAAACTACGTTTGTGGTCAATGTATATGGTCTGGACATTTATTATTTAATTGCAACTGAATCAGAACTTTGACGGTTAGAAATATCCAATGCCATACTACCATATCCTATTTAAGTCCATTTTATGAAATTTTTATATAATCCTGATTATAAGAAATTTTCCTACAATTCAAAAAGAAGTCCCACTGTCTGTCATTTACAGAGATCAGGTACATTTTACATGAAAACGCATTTTAAAACTGATGGTCAATAGGCCTCATGGTTGGTGTTTCTCATGCACGTGATCCATCGTAAAAATACGTTACATGTACCAAGAAAAATTTGGGGAAGATCATATGCAATAAAATGTAAGTTTTGCCGATTTACAAATTCATTTTGAGTGTATTTCACTAAACAATAACCCTGCAAGAGTCCAATATTGTCTTTCTATAGAATATTGCACACTTACCAGAATGAGAAGCACCTCTACCTAGTTTGCCACTTACTGAAATTCATAATCAGATAAAATAATACGATTTACTGATAGAAATTAATAGACTACATGATTGTTTAGGACTGTGGATTCTTTCTGGTGTTGTTTCTCTTTAGGGAGCATTTCAAAAGATCAATGTCAGAAAAAATCTGTATTTTAACAGTTAAGGGGAGGGGATCATTAACCTTAAGATTGAACTTTTCGACATTGAATGATTATAAAAATTGACTGCATTACATATTATGTTAGATATAGTGTCACCTTCTATATAAGGCATATCATATTTCCGAAAAACAGTTATGAGGGGGAGGGAGGGGGTCACAGATTATAAACTGTTCAAATACAGTTAGTAATCCAACATTGAACCTTTGAGGCACAAAAAGTATATAAATGAAAGCGCCATTGGATTTGTATTTGTAATCTGTCTTTTCGTAATGTCAAGTTTCTGTAGATGTTTATCTTAAAGGTACGGCTATGATTACAAATATGAATTATTAGTGACAGAATTTCAGGAAATCAACACCCAAGATGTTCTAGACATCAAAACCATCTTAAGTTTGAGTTTATCTACAAAGATTATATAATTTAGTTTATGTTAACTTACAACTGAGTTTATACCCTCCCTGTACCAAAGGAAATGCGCAGAGGCACACGATTAGCAGCTTCATTTTCTGAAAGAACAAAACAGATTTACAAAGGACGTATATAATTACAAAAATTTCATGGAGATTTAATAGGTCAGTAGACACTGTTGTAGTTTTCGACATTAGTAAAAACCATCAAAATAAATTCTTCGTCATTTTTAAGAATCATTCCAATTTCCACGTATAGCTGAAAAGTGTGTAAAACCAGTAAATCGCTATGGTGACAATTAGATTTCAGAAAAATGTAACGTTTAAAGTTTAATTTGCACAGCAAAAATTGTGTACGAATACAACGAATCCTGACGTCAGGGATACATACAGGATATGCACCCAGTGTGCCAAACCTGTATGAATCCTGACGCCTGGATATATACATACAGGATTGGCACCGAATGTACATATCCTGTACATATCCTGTGTCAGGATTTATACAGGATTGGCGCGTGTAGGAATCCAGTAGAAATCCTGCATCTGGATTCATACAGGATACACTCGCAGTGTGCCAATCCTGTATAAATCCTGACGCCTGGATACATACAGGATTGTCACACAATGTACATATCCTGTGTCAGGATTTATACAGGATTTGCGAATGTAGGAATTCAGTATAAATCCTGCCTCCTGGATTCATACAGGATACGCTCGCAGTGTGCCAATCCTGTATGAATCCTGACGCCTGGATACATACAAGATTGGCACACTGTGTACATAATTTACAAAGTATTGATTGCTATTGTTACTAACATATATGACATAATTCTTTAAAAAATCCATGTTAATTTGATAGAAAAACAATTTTCTCAATCAAACAAATAATCTACTTTCAAAAGTACTAGTATCCAAAAGGGAATTTCATTAAATTAAGAATGAACATTTTACCATTATTCACGTTATTGTTTTTTCCCTGGACTATTGTGATTTGATATTTGATGCTTAAGAAGCTATAGAAGACAAATGGTATATAAATAGCAATATGACATACTTTTAAAGAGCCTAATGTCTGCAACCTTTTTATAACAGACTTTCAATTAAAAGCCCATTATAACCCATTAGAACACATAGTCGCAATGGTGGAGGGATTTGGATATTTGGAATTCCCCCGGCGATTTAATTATTACTTATCTGTTTTCAATATTGTTGGTATTTTGCAACCCTTTAATATTCAATTAGCGCTTCAAAAAAGTATTGTTTTTCAAAAGGTAGGTCAAAAGGGTCAAATCAAGGTCAACATGACATTTTGTGATAAATTGTTAATGTGCGAAAGTACGAAATACGTAGTACAGGTATGTTCCAAACGTGACGAGGCTTTTTTATCAATGTTCTACGAATCTAGATTTTATATCACTTGAAACAATGCATAGCCCTTGGTCAGGGGGGGGGGGATTACAGACATCTAACATAGCGTTTTAGTTATGTATAATCATTAATCAAAACAAATAATACGAATTAGTCCACCTTTCTGATTACATTTTGTCCATGTATTTCTGGACTTATTTACTTATGATTTAGCCAATATGATACAACAACAAATTAACTTCACTTGCGTCAGCCCATCATCTCCATGCAAATATAATTGTATTCATGTTCGACGGGGAATAAGAATTTGTTTACCCAGCACCCCTGATCATTATCAAGCCCCCTCTAGATATCAGGCACGTCACAGGCACGTAGCCAGGGGGTTCGATGGGTTCGATTTACCCCCCCCCCTGGCAAAAAAATCTTTCAAAATCATGCGGTTTTTCACCATTCTGAACACTTTTAAGGAGATTTCGGCCATTTTTGGACCAAAATTGGCACAAGTAAACCCCCCTTGGAATTTTTCAAGAAGTGAACCTCCCATGGCAAATCCTGGCTACGGGCCTGCGTCATACTGTATGGCTAAAACTCCGGGCTTTCGCTAGAGAGGCGTGCCTCTGAATACCCATGACCCGGAGGTTAACTTATAGTAACCAGTAGATAAAATTGTATTTAAAAGGGAAAGAACTACTGTACAGTAGGCCCCTGGCTTAGTCAAAATAATGTATATGGTATCCAAACCCCTAAGCTGCACGGCTTCTCGCCATGCATTTTGTCACCGCTCTACCACTCCGTTGCCAACATTCTCACGGTTTGAACTGTCATATGATATATAATATTGAGTTTATTATTTTGCGATTATTGATGAAGCTTTAATCGGGGATAGAGAACCCTTATACATTATTATCGTTTACTCTGGAGTTCAGATGGTAAAAGAAGCAACAGATGAACTCTCTTATTTTGATAAGCTAAAACTATTGAAAGGATAATTGCTATTGTTATAATTGCTATTAATACCAGTGATAATTCAAATTCACTAATGATGATTGATAATTTAGCTACAAGCCCCGCCATGAGTGTGTGAGTTTTGGCTGAAATAGAGGGGGATAGTCTGGAGGCAAGATTTTTTGATTGCACTTGTTTTCAGGCATCATGCTATTTCCATGAGTGAGTGTCAACTTTTAAGACCCATTTTCCTCCTTTCCTTCCCATGCGAATTTAAAATACAATTTGCAAATGCATCCTAAAATCTGATTATGTTAATGCTCAGCCCCCCCCCCCCTCCTCCTCCAATGTGATGCCTGACTACTATAATTTCAAATGCGCAAGGGAAACAGTTTAAATGGAATGAAATGTATCTCAAATCAGTCTCAAATACTATGGCTGATATAATTATTTGGTTCTACACGTTCCTTCCCCATTAACATGGTGACTCTTTGACCTAATAACGTATCCATTTCCTTAATATTGTATAGGGTTTGTGTAAAAAACCGGGTGACCGGGTAACCGGGTAACCGGGTGACCGGGTACTTAACGTTCCTAGCAGGGTTAGAAATTTGTTTTATTTATAACGTTGGATCTGGACGATACATGTACGTTATTTTCGACGTCACGTTTTGAGGTTATTTCAAATCGAAAAAACGTTTCGACAACGTTAAATTTTAACGTTAACAATACGTCGGAAATGAACCGACTTAGTGAGAACAAAAAGTTGTTGTCATGTTTTATTTCCACCAACAAATATCTTTTGATATTAAAAGCCTGTTTTGACAACGTTGAATTTTAACGTTTGAGTTACGTCACATATGGACCAATGTAGTAAAAAATCAAACGTTCCTGTTTGTTATGTTTTCCACACTAACGAAATTTACGGACACGTTGCAACAACGTTCTTTTTATACCATCAATAGATGTCTCATGTTTACGTTGCCTCGATGTGTAAAGAACGAAAATGTGCAACGTCTTCTAGGAACTTATATGCTACTTATGAACAACGTGACATGGGTCACGTCACTGTTTACTGGATCGATTATTTTAAAAAGTGCTCTGTCTCGTATAGGGTAAAAATATCGAACAGCAGTGCACTCGGTAGGCTAAGTCTGTCAAGTCAATTAGCGACTATATATCGGGGGAAATGTGGAACTTTGAAAGTTGGTAACCCTGCTAGGAACGTTAGGTACCCGGTCGACCGGGTACCCGGTTACCCGGTCACCCGGTGTTTTACACAAACCCTATTGTATATTCAAACAGGGAGAATAGGTTCAATATAGAAGGAGTTCCATAGTCAGGATCCCGGGTCAGGATTTTTCAATTGACCGTGCTTTTGTGTATCAGTTGGAAGAATTTGGTTTGTCTCGATTTCGTCGACTGGTGCCTAGATGCATTTGTAGACGCAACGCACATTCCAGGGCGCATATTTAAGGTTCTATGTTATTTATGAAAAAATGAATAATTGAAAGGCATCACATGGAGTGGAGGGGGGGGGGGAGTTATCATGATCAGAGTTGGGGCTAATACTTATTGTTAAGGATAAGAAATGTCTGAAAACAAATATATAATATATATTGTATATGTTATCAAAGCATATTGGATTATTTATACATGTCGTCTAGTTCGGATGTAATTTTAACAAATACTACAAGCAGACGGCGTATGCGCAATGTTACTAATCATCAGTTCTCAGATTTGTAAAGCCATGGGAAAATGAAATCTGAAATAAAGATGCTTTTCTAGCATCTTGACTAACAGTAAATTATATTTTGAAAATCATTTGATTATCATTTGATGTCATAATTTTTAACTGTACATACTAAATGGCGACAATGACATACATATGCATCACGCGAGGATGGATGATGAACATGTACTTTACATCTGCACGTTACGCCCGGTTGATGTCACAGTCTTATGTTCCCAATGTTCAAAAACAGAATATGATGTGTATTGTTGTCTTGCATCATTATAGGAGTAATAATTTGATTAGAAACCCGGGATTAGAAAAACTCTCCGAATCCGAATCATATATTTGAAAACGAAGAACACAATGCCCCAGGTACAATGCCCCGTGTATTCACCATTTACTCTCAATCCTGGTTATCTATCAATGTCTCCAGTCAGTTTGCTTCTGTGTGCCTCTCCAAGTAACAAATCTAAATGCATACTCTACATATATCGCCCATAGTGGGCCCGGGACTTAAAAACAGACGTAGACTTCGACAGTGCAAGGGGGGACTATAATGTAGTAACTTTTAGTTGTGTCAAATAGCTGAAATAGTTTGTCACAAATATTAAATACGCAAATAGAGGCCGGTTTAAGAAATGAGACTAGAGGCAAAGAATAATTATAATCATAAAATCTAAAGTAATTCCTCGATGATCTCTTCTGTAATCAAGGTGGTTTTGGTACACTTCCGCAGTTATAAAAACAAAGACATAGACTAAGTAATTAATAACTAAGTAATTAAGTAATTAATAAATCTAAAGTAATTCCTCGATGATCTCTTCCGTAATCAAGGTGGTTTTGGTACACTTCCGCAGTTATAAAAACAAAGACATAGACTAAGTAATTAATCTTTTGTTATCATTTAATATTAGTTACTTACAGCATTAATTTGTCTTGGATTTCCAAGGTATGATGTTTTGATTGAAAATCAAACTGGGAAACGAGTATGCTCCTTACAGCTGTGTATATCAAATCCTGTGAAAAGAATCAATTCAAACTCACCCCCCCTATCTAATTATTTCGCAAATGAAACAACCCAAAAACGTTGATATGTCAACATAATTTTGCAGAACTGAGCGAAACGAAAGGTGGAACAAATGAGATTAAATATTCTATTCTGGATATGCACAAAAGGCAACAGTTGAAGAACTAAACAAAACAATTCACGATCCTACAACAGATAGCCGTTTGAGAAATCTGCTTTATGGTCCGCTTCTTGATAGTGCCCCCATTGTCCTTGTTTGAGATACATGCTACAAGGAAAAGAGACGCTACAGTAGTAGGATAGTAAAATACCAGGATGTCCATATCAGCCTCTGAGATTGATAAAAGTTTTATTTTCCCAATAGACTAGATGCAAAGAAATACATGTAATCTTGATTTACATCCAAAATCCAAAATTGAGATCATATTTCATATTCTTATCATTAATACTTTCATGTAGTGTCAAATATTTAAACCCTGGGCATTTTAACATGTTGCATATTCGTCATCAAATCTGATCATATACGTACCCCCTCCCCCCATCTGCAATCATGATAGAAATCTGACTTCCGGTCTCAAAACTGATATAATGATATCCCCATGATAAATCCAGAAGTCAATGCCACAGCAGAAAAATATAAATAGAAAAATACCAGATATAAACTTGATACAAATAAAATTATCGATACTCTAACCAATTGACCAACCGACTGAACCACCCCCGGGGAACCACCTACCCATCGATCGACTAATCAAGTAAACTACAAAACATCCAAGCAACCAACTTTCAAAGGAAGCGACCAACTTTGCAATCACCAGTCAACAGAACGCAAGAAACTGACCAAGCAAAAACAAAGCAAGCAACCAAGCAAGTGTGCAACCATATAAGCAACAAACAAAGCGAGGAACCAAGCAAGCAGCTAATTAAGTAACTATACATGCAAATACACGTAAGCAAGCAAATGAACAACAAAAATCCAATCAATCAAGCAAGCAACTAAACAAGCTTCCAAGTAATCAAGCAACTAGCCCAGCAACGAACCACACAAGTAATCAACAAAGCAAGCAAACGACCATCCAAGCAGAAAACTAAGTAAGCAAACAACAAACCATGCAACTAATCAACAAAGCCACCGACTGTGTGCATATCCTGCATGAAACCAGGCGTCAGGATTTATACAGGATTGGCACACTGCGTGCATATCCTGTATGAATCCTGATGTCAGGATTCATTGTATTCATACGCATTTTTTGCTGTGTTGTCAGTCATGTGTTATCCTTATATCAATTGACCTTTATTGTATCATGGATGTATTTTTCCGAATCCAATTTTTCTTTGAAAATTAATGTGATTGAGAAAAGTACGTTTTTTACGGAAAGCGAAAGGGGATATACGCACTTTATTTATTAACACACTCAAAATATCGCGCTGAAGCTTGTATATGCTGGCGCGATGTAAATATAGTTTTCTGTTAATAAATGCCCAACAAGAAAGGGTAGCACAACGAATTCAACTTTTTTCGAAAGACTGCAGACTTGACCTGCGAAATTGTAATTTTGGATCACAGTGATGCCTCTAGAGAGGATATCTATGAGAATTACAGATTATAGTGCGCAGAATTATAAAGTCAAACTGACCTCAAAATGGTAGTACACAGTGTACACTGCCATCTTTCAATAAAGTGTGTACTACAGACCTTCGTATACAAAATACCAGAATGATTGACCTGTATACCATTTATTCTGGGAGAAGGAAAGTTCCTATATGTATTCCATGGCCGTAGCCAGGGGGCCTCACCCCCTCCCCCTTGCCAAATATTCGTTCAAAATCATGCAGTTTTTCACCATTATTCTTAGCACTTTTCGCATGATTTTTTTGCCATAACTGTCAAAAAGCTCCCCCCTCTTGGTAAAACCACTCCCCCAGGTTAATCAAGGATACGGGTCTGTATTCTTAGACGAAATTGTTCAAGAACATAAGGTAGACATAAGTGCCACCTGTTAAAAACTAGCAGATCTTTTCTAAGTTATTAAGTCATCAATCAGCAGACTGGTAATTGTATCCCCCACCCACTTCAAACTCCATACACTAACATACTATTACAATTTTATCTGTGTTTATTTGACTGTAGAAGGTGTACATTCATAGCATTAAATTGCATTTCATTGCATTGTATTGTATTGTATAGCACATCATTGTATTGTATTGTACTGCATTTTATTGTATTGCACAGCATTGTATTGTATTGCATTGTGTTGTATTGCATTGTATTGAATTGCACTGTATTGTATTTTATTGCACTGCATTGCACTACATTGTATTGCACTGTATTGGACTGCGATGTATTGTATTGCACTGCATTGTATTGCACTGTACCACATTGTATTGCACTGCATTGTATTGAAATGAACTACATTGTATTGCACTGCACGGCATTGTTTTGCATTGTATTGTATTGCACTGCATTGTATTGCATTATATTGTACTGTATTGTATTGCATCGTATTGCACTGCATTGTATTGCATTATATTGCACTGTATTGTATTGCACTGTATTGTATTGCACTGCACTGTATTGAACTGCGATGTATTGTATTGCACTGCATTGTATTGCACTGTACCACATTGTATTGCACTGCATTGTATTGAAATGAACTACATTGTAACTGTATTGCATTTTATTGCACTGCATTGTATTGCACTGTACCACATTGTATTGCACTGCATTGTATTGAAATGAACTACATTGTATTGCACTGCACGGCATTGTTTTGCATTGTATTGTATTGCACTGCATTGTATTGCATTATATTGCACTGTATTGTATTGCATCGTATTGCACTGCATTTTATTGTATGATATTGCACTACATTGTATTGTATCATATTGCACTGCATTTTTTGCATCATATAACACTGCTTTGTATTGCATCATATTACACTACATTGTATTGCATCATATTGCACTGCATTGTATTGCATCATATTGCTATGCATTGTATTACATCATATTGCACCGCATTGTATTACATCATATTGCACCACATTGTATTGCATCATATTGCACTGCATTGTATAACATCATATTGCACTGCATTGTATTGCATCATATTCCGTATTTACCATTTCGTTACAGTTTTATTACATAAAATGTTATTTATAAGATTATAATTTTCAAACATTGAAAATATTTTATACAATATCAATTAAAAGATATGAAATGGCCCAAAATAATATATTTTCAATGGAACCCTTTGCAAGGGTCACTTCAACATAACGCCACGTGTAATCTGTATGCATACGCCCTCTTTTAATGAACATTATCTTTGAAACCATATTAGAATCAAATCTGATAAAAGTGCGCATGTCCTGGATGTGCTGCGCGCTAGAATCGGGAAATCTCAAAGTTCTCCTCGTTAGAGCCATCAATATTATCCAAAATTGTCATTTCGCTGGTTCACTCCGCAGTCTTTCGAAAGAATCAAATTCGTGGTGCCACGAATTTTTATTCGTTATTTATTCACAGATAATCATTTTTTCATCGCGCACTGAATGCCGGAATTTCTGCGCACTTTATTTTAATTAACTTTGCACAACGCGGCCCCTGTAATTCATTCAGTGCGCGATGGAATCTATCTGACTGGGCCGCGGTGTGTGATATCACTCCCATGTTGAAACTCCATTCGATTTTGAATTATGCGCATGTCCCCTATCGCTTTCCGTAGTTTTTAGATTTGAATTATTTGCAAAACCACAAAATCGTACATGTACACGAGCAGAGATTTAATAAAGCTTATGGATTGAGCGTGCTATATGAATATATAACCTCAGAGTCCCAAAGAATATAAAATGTACACAAGGGGATGGGGGGGGGGGGGGGTACACATCCCCCCTCCCCACTTGTAAAATCTTTATAAGTAAAGCTAGGATGTTAAAACTTTCCCCAAATATACTTCATTCAACTACACGGAGTAATAACTTTAACAACTTTGATGATATAATATCGCATAATTTCAATGTAAAGAAAACACATATGATAGTGCTAGGTATATTTGATTTTGTCAGTTGGAGCCGAAAATTACATCACAATGAATTAATTATCCTATGTACAATTGTGCTGATTTTTATATACATGACTTTAGCTACAAAGAATTTGAAAATCCTACCAAAAGTTTCATAGAAAACACTTAACTGTGGGCCTTTTGTACCCCCCCCCCCTCCTAGGGAGTTTAAATTAGGGTCCATACGAGGTGGTAAAGAACAAACATTTATACAGTAAAAACATCTTTAGTTTTATCATTTAAAGTGCGACAAAATAAAACCATTGAAGAGTTCAATGTATTGTCCAGCTAAATTTTTAAAGCTCACTTCTTCTGCGTTTTAGCGATTTTAGCATGACTTCTAGCCGATTTGGAGAAATAGCGATATCCACTGACGTGAAAAATTACTTTTTTATTTCCCTATACCACGACATTGTTGATTTTGACGACGCCACTATTTCTTTATATATCCATAATAAACTAGCAAATAAACTTCATACGTACCCGTTTGTTTTGTTCTGAAGTAGATAGAATCTCTCGAAGTCCATCTTTATATCAATTTCTCAATAATTCCAATGGGCAATTTCAAAGATACAATCTCTAATAATGTACAATGATAATAATAAATAGAAAATGAATAACAAATTCTTTACTTATTACATGGTTGATATATTATAGGTATTTTATCAACGTTTTTTACGTTGATTTGAACAGATAAGGGGCTGATACTCTCTTATGGGTTGAAATTGGTTATGGTTGAACACATATCTTATAAATTATGAATCAAAATCTGTTTGTTTATAATACTAATATGTTTGTTTGTGCCAAAGACAGAGAGAGTTATTCGAGTGTTTATTTTTTCATAACATCATTTCAGACATTTGTTAATTTCGAACCGATGCTTAATTTCACAATCCGATGGTGATAAAAAACAAAATATTTCACGAATATTACATTCATCCTGACAATCCATGGAGTTCGAAGGGGTAATGGTATAACATCTTATAATGTTACGGGTATCAAATCCCCGTCTATGATAACCATTCCAAGGCTTTAAATTGTTATGTAATCTTACGCTTTCTACTTGTAATGATTTACGGAGTAACGTAAAGACTTTTTTATGATCGTCTTTTTTATAGGGTTTGTATGACCCAGAGATAAAACTGATATAACATTAATGGAGGATGATTAAATGTCATATCTTTGAAAGGTTAAAAAGACTTCATGCAGTTCTATAAAATATTCAAGTTTTGAACGAAAGCTTTAAAAGAGATTTAATGAGGTTTTGTCTCTATATACCCTGATGTCGATATTGAAAATGTTTCCCCGTATTTTCTCATGTTTCCGATCTTTATCATACATCTTGTCAATATTTTTTGCCTCACTGAGATGTAGTCTTGCCATGGGTTTCTCGGTTCACTCCCGAATATTACAAAATTGCATACTATAGTACCCCGGACAGGTTGGATGATGCAGTCGTGTTTTTATCGTACCTAACAAGAGGTACGATATTGTAGTCAGCTTGACGGGCGGCGGGCGGGCGGGCGGCGGGCGGCGTCTCACTTTTCAGCTTGTCTACAGGTTTCCAGCCAAACCATTTGAGGGATTCATCTGAAATTTTCAGGGATGTTTTTACATATCAACGTCAAGAACTGATTAGTTTTTGGGCATTCTGGGTAAATTTTAAGGTGGCCATTTTGGATTTTCCGTCCTAAAATCTTTACTTTCAAGACTTGTCTACAGGTTTCCAGCCAAACCATTTGAGGGATTCATCTGAAATTTTCAGGGATGTTTCTACATATCAACTTCAAGAACTGATTAGTTTTTGGGCATTCTGGGTAAATTTTAAGGTGGCCATTTTGGATTTTGCGTCCTAAAATCTTCACTTTCAAGACTTGTCTACAGGTTTTCAGCCAAACCATTTGAGGGATTCATCTGAAATTTTCAGGGATGTTTCTACATATCAACGTCAAGAACTGATTAGTTTTTGGGCATTCTGGGTAAATTTTAAGGTGGCCATTTTGGATTTTCCGTCCTAAAATCTTTACTTTCAAGACTTGTCTACAGGTTTCCAGCCAAACCGTTCAAATTTTTACATATTATGTTACACAGTGATAGGTTCTAGAGCTGATTAACTTTTCTGTGGCCATTTTGCTTTCTTGGTCAACAAGACCACAATGCTGTGTTTTAGGTACGATATTGTTCACGTCTGTGCGTTGTTACTCTATATTTGCAATAGAACAACCATTCTTATTGAAATTTTCATATTTTATTCTGGAGACAGTTTCCAACATGGGAAAAAATATTATAACGAAATTCCTAATTTTATGATTTTGATAGGCTTTTTTCAAAAACTCTCCACTGTCAATAAAATACAGGTTTTTGCTTGAATAATTGAACTTTTAACGTCATTTCCAAGATTGTCTAGCTATTGAATTTTTGGCCACCTAAAGTCTTTCCAAATGTGTTTGATGCCATATTAATAATGGCTGGTTATTGTTATTCATTTTTGTCATATTCGATGGGCCTAATATTATTACAGTACATTAGGCCAATGAAAAACTTGTCACTCTCGATCACGTTTCCTCTGATAACGCACCTTTTTGCCACTGGGTTTTTCCGCCACCGTCACTCAGCATGCAACCCTGTGGCACGTAAATTGTACCATGCTTTGAAAATGTCAAGTTTCCCTGTCAATTTCATGATAAAATTTGTCACATATATAACGAAATTCCTAATTTTATGATTTTGATAGGCTTTTTTTCAAAAACTCTCCACTGTCAATAAAATACAGGTTTTTGCTTGAATAATTGAACTTTTAACGTCATTTCCAAGATTGTCTAGCTATTGAATTTTTGGCCACCTAAAGTCTTTCCAAATGTGTTTGATGCCATATTAATAATGGCTGATTATTGTATATTAACATCTCTGAAGGATCAATGCCGGGAATACTTGAAGTTGGAGATTCGTAATGTTTTACTTCATTTTGGACAGTATTGAACAGTTCAATAGGGTTGAACTCGTGTCCGTGGACAAGAAGGTTGACCTCCTCTATCTAGGCTTAATCTAGGGAACGCTTCACAAAACGAGACCCAGAGCAACAAGGTTTTTATTGGCCTAATGCACTGTAATAATATTGAATATGACTGAAGTGAATAACAATAATCAGCCATAATTATTAATATTGCAACAGATATATCTGGAAAGACTTTAGGCGGCCGAAAATTCAATAGTCAGACAATAATTGAAATGACGTCATAAGTTCAATTGTGTAAAAAACTGTAGTTTTATTGACAGTGTAGTGTTTTTGAAAAAAGCCTGTCAAAATCATAAAATTGGAAATTTTGATAAAATATCTATTTCCTATGTTGGATATTGTCTCTAGAATAAATCCTGAAAATTTCAATAAGAATGGTTGTTCCGTTGCAAATATAGAGTAAAAACGCTCTCGGTCACGTTTCCTCTGATAACGCACCTTTTTGCCACTGGGTTTTTCCGCCATCGTCACTCAGCATGCAACCCTGTGGCACGTAAATTGTACCATGCTCAGACAATAATTGAAATGACGTTATAAGTTCAATTGTGTAAAAAACTGTAGTTTTATTGACAGTGTAGTGTTTTTGAAAAAAGCCTGTCAAAATTATAAAATTGGAAATTTTGATAAAATATCTATTTCCAATGTTGGATATTGTCTCTAGAATAAATCCTGAAAATTTCAATAAGAATGGTTGTTCCGTTGCAAATATAGAGTAAAAACACGACTGCATCATTCAACCTGTCCGGGGTACTAGTATACATATACGAGTGAGCACATCGTTATCAAAATTAGAAAGTACACAATCGGTGTAAGGAAAATTGATTATGTAAAATAGTGAAAACTACCACAAATCATTATTTGGATTCTTATATCAAATATGCAATGTGGATGAAAACTTTAGCATCTTTGTTACAGTTCCTAGGTCACATTTGATTAACTGACGAGGGGTAGGCAATACTAGGCAATACCTCGTAAATGACTCTATTATGGCCAAAATTATACATGTGAGAAAAAGTGAAAAATAAGAATAAATGTATGAAGTATAGATTATTCTGGTGTCGAGGCTCGTGATGTAAAAAGGTAACGCATATATCGTTTAGCAAACCGAACGCTCGTTTTTGGTGCTGCTCATCATTTGGTATAAAAGGCGCGATCCCGAAATAATACTCAAGAGTTCACAGGTTGAGGTTCACCCTGCTATAGCATGACGGTTACGCCACCTCTGAAAATTAAACGAGGTTGGACGGCTGATTTATCCAATTTGTTTATTTTTGTCGATAGGACATGGTCTACATTGCTTAACGACCTCGGGGTACATAGATGTAACCTACATACGATCATGATGGACGGTTACGCGAACCTCGTTCAATATGTATTCCCGATTCATTGTCATTAATTTTGTCATATTCATCAGTACTTAATGCTAATTCTTCTTTTCGCCTCTCCATTGCTTTCTTTTTTACTTTCATTGGTTTCATAAATAAAGCAAGGACACAATTTTTCATTGCCCTATAGAGGCACAAACAAGAGCGTCTCTTGCCTAAAAACAAATATAAGCAATTCAATATTCCATTTCAATGACATGGGAAGAGACTATCAGAACTACATGTAGCAACCTTGACTTGAAAGGTGTACATGCACGTAGCCGTCCGCTAAATATCTATTGTAAAGTTAATACAATACGTTACCGTCCATAGAATTCATACGTAGTCGTCTAACGACATTGCGTTTGAAACCTTATTATTTACAATATACACCACGTTCCTGTTCTGGATTTGTCATTGTATGACTTGTTTATACACAGTTTACTTACAGTAAATAGTTTGATTGACTCTGAGGCACATATACTGAGAAAACACGAGAATGGACTAAAAATAATGAACTTGGATATCTCAGTCGGTAAGTTTACAGCTTATATTCTGCTTCTAGTAAACCAGATTTGACCCAGTCTTTATAACCATCTATCCATATATACGTAACCGAATGGAACTAGTTGAAAAGGAAATCTTATCTGTGAATCTTGCCTACAGGCGAGAAAGAGGACATGCAGCTGTATTTCCCATCGTTACCGCAGCATTTTGCAAATCGCCTTGACGTAACCGTCATGCTATAACACCGTGAAGTTACTGCGTAAATACCTCTGCCTGTTTATGTAGGGATATACAAGTATAGATCGTCACACATGCATTATAAAATGAGATTTTCATTTTGACAAATAAATTTCACAATTTATGTGTGAAGTTTCAGGATCTTCTATTATTGTTTAAAAGGAAAACTTGACTTTTAGATTTTCCCATTATGTATTGATCGACACATAGCATGGTCTGACGAAATGTCCTGTAAATAAAACAAGGCACTTTGGATTGTCACAAGGATTTATATTGGCTGATGCACGTGCATTCTTTGGATAATTCACTCTCCTGGTATTTACAGAATCATTGTAAACGGATCATTTTATCTTAAAGACGATTTCAACATAGTGAAAGAACAAGTCTAGGTTTGGAGAACAGTCACCTGGGCTAATAATCATTTATGTGAGAAATATAGAAACATCACCCAAAATAAATTATGAATATTCAAAAGAGGACATTTACACACTTAAACATCGCTTAGATTTCCATGTTTCTGGACGTCTAAAGAGTCGGTTTCATTATGACGATTAAGAAATAATGGAGTTCTGCATATAATGGAGTTCTGCATATAAGTAAAAGTCATTGGATGCAAGGTCTGGGGAATATGGAGGGTGTGCAAGTAGGGGTAGCCTAAGTGCCCTTATAGTTTCACTAGTGAGCATACGTGTGTGTAAGTCTACAATATGTAAAAATATCAAAATTGTCCAAAGCAGCCGTAACGTGCAATAGACTGATGACTGATGAGCTCCAAACCGAGACTAGTCTTTTACAAAACTCCACTAAATTCTTAAAAATAGTCTATCAATTGTTTCGTCATAATGAAACCGACTCTTTAGACGTCCAGAAACATGGAAATCTAAGCGATGTCTACATATCTTAATCCGAGACTACATTTCGTGCATGCTCTCTGTTGTCAACTTTGCAGTATGACACGCATTGTAATGTTACAGGTTACAACTGTTTTCTCAATGACTTTTTTAAAACTTCGGCAGATCTTCACACTAAAACTCATGGAGGAGACAGACTTCCAAAATATCTTCTTCTAACCAAGGATTGTTATGATGACATACTACCGTATGAATGTAAAAATGCTATACGGAACATATTTAGAATAACCAACTTGCATTTTGATGGAGAATACATAGATCGAAATCATGATAACCCAATCATATAATAATCTTTTCATCAGAATTGAGTAAAATTGATGTTGTTGTCAACGCACTACTCACCAAATTGCTATGGCAACTATAATTTCATTGTTTGGAGGTCATGTGCTTTGAATATTTTTAAACGATTAACAATTACATTTTTAGACATGCTGAAAAAATTGAAGCAAGGTTCCTTAAATTTTGACAAAATGGGAGACCTACTTATTGGATACATTGTCCATAATGGTTGTGCAATGGGTGTTAAATATGGTAAGGCAGATATTACAGAACAGACAGTGTAAAATGGAATCCTAGCCTTTACATGTCTTACATGCTTTGATAATGTATATAGGCTTTTGATTAATGTCATTTCCAATAAAATATCGACATATTCGATGATAGATTACTCGTGACCAGTGCTAGGTCAAAGAACATATAGTTTTTTATTACAAACGATACTAATTTATTAACTATACCGTTGCTCAGGGTAAATATTGTGAAACTACATAGCCTGCATACACGGTATTGACCGTCCTGTCAGGGTTTGTTTTAAAAGTCATTGGAGATAATATCTGCATCATTTGAAAATTGTTTTGTTATCTAAATTAATGAGATATTTAGCATTTGCCTCATCCGCTACTTGAAATAGCCCACTTTAACAGGATTTGTGTGAACGAAGGGGATGCTGCTTAATAGGAACTAAAAGTGTCGTCTCGTCTAGCAGTGCCCTCATTAATATCCATGGACCTATTTTATCTCCGCACAATAATGTAAAGATTAGTAACCTTTTAGGTAAGTTCTTGTACTTTAATTATATTATGAAACACACAAATCAATTTTAAGTTTCTGGGTGTGTTTTTAATTTGGGGTTCTTTTAGACACCCAAAGGTAAAGTTTTAATAGATGGTAATATACATGTAGGGAATAGACAATGTGTGTTTGTCATAATGGCTCATTAACTTAATGTCAACGTCTTAAGTAAAGAGTTTCAAAATGTCACATTCGCTTGCTTATTTATATATTAAGAAACCTGGTCGTGACTTTGCTTACATTATTAGTATTAGATCTATCTTAATCATTTCTCTCGTAAGACTTCAATATTTGTATTTGTAGGTTTTTTGTTTGTTTTAGGATGAGGATTATATCAAAAGCATTAGTTTTAGTCACAGTATTAGTAGGTGAGTCGATTAATTCTTTATTTTGAATTAAGAACATTGTAATTGTTGCATAATAAAATGTGAAGTTACAAATATAGCAAGTGGGTAAAAGAAGTGGTATGAATAAAATGGTAGCATTACGGGGAAACGGAAGAAATATGTGAATATGGGGCAAATGAGGGAAGGGGAGCGGTAGATGAAAGGGTAGCATTAGGGGGAAAACAGAAGTACTTAAGGTCAAATGTGAGGACGGGGCAATGGAAGAAGAGGGGTTTTAGATGAAGGGAAAGCAGTATAAGGAAAAAGGGAAGCAATTATTTCAAATGTGAGGATGTAGCAATAGGGGGGGGGGGGGGGTTGGATGAAAGGAGGAGCAGTATGAGGAAAACGGAAGCAATTTTTCAAATGTTAGGGTTGGACAATTGGGGTAAAGGAGCGGTAGATAAAAGGGAAGCATTATGAGGGGTCCAGAATCAATTTGTCAAACGGGGTCCGGATGACTGGGATAACAGGGATATAGGAGGGGTAAAGGAAATAGGCACATTAAGGGAACACGTGTCCGTCACACCAGAAAATGGGGAAATGAGTGAAGGTTATTTATCTAACGCGAGGATTGGAGCAGTTGGGAAGATAAGGGGTGGAGGAAAGGTTTCAGCATTACAAGGGAAACCATCAATCCATCAGGAATTAGGATTTTGATAAGAGGGGCAAAACTAGATAGAAACAGGCTAAAATGTTGAACACATCGAGTAGATGCGAGCACAATCGGTTATATGAACGTATAATCAAAAGCGATGATCTAATATACAAAGAAATATTGAATAGCGCCCATCTCTACTCAGAATCATATCCTTTTGAAACCACAATGGTATCCATTCTGAGGTTATTGCAATGTACATATAGAATAATGAAGTATTCTTACAAAAGGAGTATTCGGTCTCAAATTAAAAGATTATCAAATGGTAAACCCTTTTTTCAAATCAATAGCACATTGTGAAATTGAATCAATAATGACCCCATCTATCAAATGATTGACCTCTGTGGGTTATAAATGTCATTCTATTGTGCAACGGTATCGATACAGGCTGCTTTGACAGTTATGATATACTTGTGTGTACTTAATTTAATAACATTTTTAAAAAGCCATATTTTAAAATCTATATTACACAATTAGTATCATCAATCTACACTCGAGTACATGTCTTGTAAAAAAAGTCTATAATTGTTTTCATTTGGTTTGTTGTATATTTAACATTCAATTCATCCGAATCTATGTCACGCATTGGAATTATACCGTGAGTCAAATCAACAATAAATCTAAGAATCTGTGAAACGAACATTTTTAACCATGAAATTCCGAATTAAAACATTTATTTAAATGAGACTGTTCCTAATGGGTATAATTATCATCTCGTTAACCATCATTTAAAATTAGCAATACTTTGGGGTTTAAACTTTGTGATTTATTATGTAATTAGTGTTCACGAGATGAACGTTAGTTTTATTAATTCATATCAATAACAAATTGCTATATCTTAATTTAAAAGCGAATGTAAATGTAACACCTGTGTTTATTTGTACATTTATGTTATAATCGTAACCGTTGCGAAACTGAAACAATTGAGCACTTAATATTAAATATATCGATGCCCAATGTATGACTCATAAAAGCATATAAACATATTTGAAGCCTTTGACTGTCATGGTGACACTATGAGTTTAACGAAGAAAGTTTTAGGTCTTTCAGATATTTCATGTGACACGTGTAATAATTGTGTCATTATACTGTATACACACAAAATATACAATCACAAGGCCAATCTGGTTGTTGTGCTCAACATGTAATTTCTATATCAATTTATTTCTGTTTTCCAAACTAACAACTTTTTATTACATAATTTAATCTTATCCTCGTATATATCTTATAAATGAGACAATAAAAAGACAATACAATACAATAAAAACTATTTTCTAAGTGGGCCAATGCCAACCAGAAATGAATTAAACAGCATATAAAGTGTTTTGAAAAATATAGTTTAACTTGAATAATGTTAACAATTTTATCTAAACTAATCATCTATCTCTAAAGCTGAATATACATTTTAACAGTAATATAACTGTAGGGTTTATTAAATGATCTCATACACGAGTTGCCATAGTAACCACACGTCTTTCCAAAAAGACCGAGAGTCAAAAACCAGGCATATTGATGAGTGTCATAATATTACCTACCTACAATACTTACAATACCTTTCAAGTAGAAATTTTTTAAAACCGTTTTTATTTGATAGACTTACAACTTATTGATCGACCTGGTATATACATACACAGGGCAACAGAAACCGTACATTGAACATGAAATGCATTAATTTCGAACATTTCACATTTTAGTATAATTATTTAAAAAGATAATTGAATTTCCATGTTAAACATGGTACATTTCACGGTGTTATTATATTGATGATAAACCTACATATTTAAAAAGGTTAAAAGTGTTTTACATGTCTGTATAACATTATGAGCAATGACAATACTGAACATGAATCGATGGAATGATATTTGAGATGGATATTCATGTACGAGCCGTATACCTCATAAAACTGACCCATACCACACTAACCTTGTGTTAAACTTTTAAATCAACGATAAAATAGCAATTTTATTATATGTACCTTTATGAAGAATACAGGAGATTGATTGTCTTTGATACAACTCTCTTCGGTTGGCTATTGGCTTAAAATAGCTGATTATTCGAACTTCTTGGTGAGATATATGAAATGCTCAATTATGGAACTGTTCCTAAATTGTAATTTAATGAAATAGGTTGTGTATTAGCGGAAAATAAGCAATAGTAAGAAAAGTTGTCATTTTTCAGAACGGTTCAAAAAGACACAAACCCATTTGTGTTGTAGACCGCAGCAAAGTGTAGTCCCATGCTACTTAAACCATGTAGAACCATGGTTAAAATACATGTATCACCGGGGAATGAAACCTAATGGATAATTGTAAACGGTGGTCAGTTCGCAAAATAAATGACCTATATTTCCTCTGTGGGCTGACTAAGCTTCTGACAAAGCTTTACACGATATTGAGGATTCAGTCAGATGTACAGTGATACCACAGTCCAACCAAATGACCAATTAATTTAACCGATTTTATTTGGCAAAAGTAATTCTGACAGAGTATCAATATATTACGTTGTAAATCGACGGCATCAACGCGAAAGCCTTATGTCCGTCACTAGCAAGGTTGGCTGTTTCTCTTATTTATCTCATTGTATGTAACAGGTATGTCAATTTTAATGTTGAATCATCTTTGCCCTACCTGTGTATATGTTTATTTATCACTACAATTTCTACTCACCAAACATAATGTTTATTCATTTATATGGTCAGTTTACTAAATTATCAATTAAGGTGATCATGATTTAATTGATTAATGAACATTCATATTTATTTTTGTTTTTTTAATCAGACAATAACGAGCTGACCTGGTGTCACACACTGAACTCAGGTTCAACGAATTCCCTTACAAAATTTGTTTTTACTCGTACAATTTAATCGTAACGTAAATGTTTTTGAAAAATTAAACATTATTTGAGATTATCAAGTGCAGTAGAAGTACTTGTGTCAACACTGTTACTCGAAATTGTTTTGTATTGCATTTTGGGACATTTTCTCACATTATACTGACAGGATATGATTGTTAACTATACTAATCAACAAAATTGAAACAGAGTTTACAAATCATATCTATTTACTTTCTAGAAGTTGTGTCATTGATTGATACTGGTTCCCTAGGAACTTTAATTTCAGATTTAGAAAACGATTGTACTTAATTTGGATTTTCATTGTAGGAACATATAGTGCTTATGTGCGAAAACGGGACGACGTAATTTTCCTTCCCCCACCGCCAAATAAACCTCTACTCCCTAGACCAATAGAATCATTTTCAATAGGTATGTATACGTTTTTACCCCATACTTAGTAGTGTTATAGGTCATTAATACGTGGGAATATAATTGATATCTGAGGTGAGCAGGTAATATTTATATCTCCCGTTGAGGTGAATAATTATCTCCCATTAAATAACCTCTATGTACCTGCTATATACTCCAAGACAACCTGGGTAAGCGTAACTTGACGATACATTAAGAATTGGGAAAATACTGTTTAAAATAGTCTAGATCTTTTGGTAGGAATGATCTTATTTGAATAATTTAATATATATAATATTATATTCAATATTACTATTTGATCAAAATAATTTGATCTTATCTAGAATTTAAGAAAATCCTAAATGTATTTAGAATACAAACCATGGACTTCGTGGGGACGCTGGAGTGAATGCGACTGCTATGGAATAAGAAGTAGAAACAGAACATCTATTAATGGTTTGCAAAAACGGTTCAGAGGTTGTGAAGTGGACAGTGACTGCCCTAACACAGGTAGGAGTGAAGAGTAAAAATATCGCAAAGAACTTTTCTAGACACGAGTTGGAGACAATATAAATGTTCCTTATAAACAATTGATTTGGTCGAAGGGTGTGACATTTTCTCTCATTTAATGGTATTATTGATAAATATCATGGACTGTTGCTTTATCGTTTTTGATGATATAAAGAAGACTACCACACAATACCTGTCAATAGCTGATTAACTGATTTATGTATTTGCCTCGCCATTTATTTATCTGAATCTGTCTGAACTATAGCAGTATAAAACACATGTACGCTTCACCATCCATACCATTAGAAAACAGAATGGTTATTATTCATGGAATGGATGTGAAACAATCAAGCCATTATGAAGCATAAATAAACCATACGTGTAGTAATGAAAAAATAAAAGGATATTTATTGTATAACATTTGAGATCATTAATCACTTCATGAGACAAGAGATTGTTATTGTTCATTTGAAATATATATGTTACAGTATAGTTTTACGTAAATATTGAGTACGTATTAGGAGTTGGACTTGTTCATTGTAGATCCTAGCAATTTCCCCGAGTGGTCGAAGTGGTCCCCAGTCGGACCTTGCTTCACTGATCACAACGGCTACCCGTTTGGTACTGGAAAGCAAACTTCAAAAGGGTGTTTACAAAAATATTTACGACGCTGCAAGTTCAAAACTTCGAATGAGGTAATAGAGCATTTCCTTAAGAGGAAGGTATTGTAGTCGTTAGTACAATTATATCTTTTTGGATATACATGGTATATTGTTTGACACACGAATAATATGTTGATATGACTGGTTACAGGGTTTTGTTCATAATATTTTGCTAGTCATGTTAATTGTTCGATGTTTTTACCAAAGGCTCTTTGACACCAACTGCCAAAATATCGGGTGTCCCGAAAAGGTATTCCGCTTCTTGACACGTATTTTCTCACCAATGGATGATACTGTTTGATATGCCAAAATGTAAGGACATCTTTAAAATAAGCTTCGAGATATTACCAATTAATGGCTCTTAAGTCATTGTCGAACGGTGTAAGACAAGAACCAAGCGAGTCGTCAGCCAGACGATGCCTATCAGAATGCCTACAGAAGATTCGATCTTAAATCCGATAGACATCAGGCAGAACCTTTCTGAAAGTCAGACTAAACCTTAATTTCATAATTTATTGAGCTTTTGTTTTAAAATTGATAACGATTTATTCATACTTCAATGATTTCATTGATATGTATCTCTTTCAGTGTCTATTATGCAATGTATTTGCTGCTCATCTGTTGTATTACCATACGATCTAATAATATTTCTATTTAGATTCCACCTGTACCATGTCGGATAGCTGAAAACAATACGAGATACAATCTTGATTCTGAATATGGTTTCACAGAAGAAAAAATTGACGAATGTGGTGAAGGTACATCTGGATGTGAGAAAGGTGAAGATAATAGAACAGGGAATATCTTCTAAAATATATACAGAGTGAGAAAGATAAAACATGGCCAAGAATTGTACATCACAATTCGATCCTAGTAAAATAATGGTATTATATACCATTGGAAGGATTTTTATATTCCCGAGCCAACCTACCATCAATTACGTTGTTCAATTTTTGCAGAGTAGCCTTGATTATCAGACTTTTTTGAAAACTAATAAAATAGCGCTGTACAGGCCTGTAGCCAGGATTTGCCAAGAGAGTCTCACTTCTCAAAAAATTCCAAAGGAGTTCACTTTTGACAACTTTGGCCTAAAAAAGGCAAAAAATCACTAGAAAAGTGCTCAGAATGGTGGAAAATTGCAGGATTTTGAAAGAACTTTTGGGGCTCGACCCCCTGGCTATGGGCCCGATGTGCCAATTAAACGTTAGTTTCTATAATGAAAAATCAAAATGTAGTCATCATTCTATTTTTTGGCGAGGTGTAAGATTAAAATGATGAAATGAGGGGAAATAAAGAATTGTACCTAAAACTATAGTAATCTTAAGTACAGGGTGACCCAAAAAAATGCAACCCTCCATTTCTCGAATATTTTTCTTAAATGGAGGTTAATTGCTCTGAAATTTGGCACACAAGGACTTCATTCAATGTGGGATCCTCTGGCAAAGTTTCAATAATCATTGTCTTATATTGATAGAGTTAGGTCGTTCCAAAATATGCTCCAAATGTCGTCCATTTCCAATGTTAGGTTTTCGGATGAGTCACATTCCCTTCTTTCTGAACATGTAGACTCAAGGAATAATGTGTTCTGGGATCACAAATTCCAGATAAAGTGCTTCACAGGCCCCTACATGCTGTTAAATGCACAGCTTGGGCTGCCAATTTCCAAACATGAAATCATCAGCCCCTTTTGGTTTGAGGTTGATAATGGCAACACTGTTACTGTTAACACACAGCGCAATATTGGCGTTCCCAGGCAGTTTTAGAGTGACACAGAGGCTTCAATAGACAAGAACAGTGGTTCTAGAAGGATGGAGCTACTCCTCACACTTCTAATGATAGCATAGCCTGGCTCACTAGTCATTTCTATGAGAAGATTATCTCTCCTAGGATGGATGACCCATGGTCATCCCACAGTCTTGATCTCAATGCCTCTGACTTCTATATACGGGGTTATTTAAAGGTTAATGTGTATGAAAATAACCGTACCGCAATTGCAGAACTCCAATAAGCAATGACTGCAAAAATTTGAGCCATACCCATGGGGAAGAATGCATACATGTTATGAACAGTTTTCCTTGAACATTGCAAGTTTGTTTTCAGCGAAATTGATGACATCTGGAGCATATTTTGAAACAACCATAACTCTATCAATATAAGGCTATGATTATTAAAACTTTGCCAAAGGATCCCACATAGAATGAAGTCCTTGTGTGCCAAATCTCAGAGCAATTTACCTCCATTTAAGAAAAATATTGACGAAATGGAGGGTTGCATTTTTTTGGGTCACCCTGTATAAAAAGTCTGCAAAATCAAAAACTGTTTTTCGAGGTTATTTCGAGAAGGAAGGGTAATGAAAACGGCCATTGTTTGATATAAAATTTTATGTTTTGATTTGGAATTAATATATGTACAGAAATGTTCAAAATGTATATTACCCTATTTCTATGACATTTTTTATGTCTTTTAAACAGAATGTATGTTGTTGACCCATTTTTCCCACCCTGAATCGAACATAGTCTTTAATCAATAGAGTCAAATCACTTTTGCCTTTTCTGTAATTGTGTACACGTGTCTTTTGGATAAAATATTGAACAGACACTGATGGTTTGGTTTTCTTTCTCAACTTGAAGGTTATGACATCTATTCTATTTATTCGTAGTTTACTCGTAATTTTCGCTGAACTCACCATGTCTTTATTCAAGTATAGAGATCATTATTTTCTAGTCAATACTGACAGTAGGGAGCGACCTGTAAAAAGCAATAATGTATGATATCAATGTTGGAAATTAAGATATACACTGACTTAAATAAGCAGGTGCTGGCACTGTCTATGGTGTTTGGAGCCAATGGTTCACTTGTGACAACAAATGCTTACGGGAACGACAACGTTGTTGCGATATCAACGGATTTGATGCCAATATTTGCAACTGCCTTTCTAAAGAGGGTGAAGATTGCACGATAAAATGTATAGGTAATTAAAATTCCTAATATTTAAATGCAAGATTACATAAATCAAACTCAGATTTCTACGAACGGTAATTAAAAATATCGAGCACGAAGCACGAGAGATATCTTATATCAAACTTTTGTGTAAACCGAGAGAAGATACGAAATAGTTCCATCGAGATATTTTCTATACTTATATTTGAACATTTCATATAATTTGCTCATCCCATGCTAATTCAACATTAGTTGTGATGTGTAATTAGAATAAAATAAATAGTTAAGCGTTTTTGGTCAATGCTATCCTACCTGTTTTATCTCCTTGACACTTCACATAGTATTTGTTAAGGAAGAATTATCTAAATATAAAATTGACACTATCTTTACAGCTCCGATGAATTGGGAGAGTTGGTCGGAATGGTCTGAATGTACATACAATCCAAAAGGGAAATGCCATCGGAAGAGGACTCGTTCTTGTGTTCTGGACGAAAAGCTCGTGAAGAAAAATCCGATGCACGAATGTAAAGCTGATGACGAGGCGATGTTTGAAGAGTGTCCTGTTGGTGACACGTGTTTAGGTGAGTAGGGCGTACTGTAGACTAAACGCATGCAGTGAGTTCTTTTTAACTAGGTCGTTCATTGAGTTTTTTCCCAAATGCAATCCATAGTCTTCAATATAATATAGCTTCGGCTCAGATATCGTGCCTGTGGCAATTATATGATAGAGGCATGGGCATTTCTAGACAACTACCGTATTTAATAATCACATTTAATAATGTGCTTTGGTAGAATGATCTAACAGAGATTAACTAGCTATGATTTTTTTCATTTCAATTAAAATAGTATATCAAAAGGTGAGTATGTTGAACAGGATCGAAAAAATGTGGTTTATGAAGTTAATTAATCGCCTACCCTACTCTAACTTGCTTACATTCATTTTCTCAATTCTTATGTAGAATCTGCTCATTGTGGCGAAGTCACCGAAGATATCATCAATGGCACGTTTGTTAACGTCATCATTGGTCCCAAGATTGATATCGGTGTTGGCGAGACATTTGACCCAGAATCTAAATATCCGATTGATTCCATCTCTCAATATACCTGTGATGACTGTCGCGGAGTCAAATTCTTGAAGAGACTTAGAGTCAAATGCCGGTTGGATGAAGAAGGATATGCTGGATGGGCTAAACTCCCGAAATGCAAAGGTATTAAATTGTATTTGTATTCTCAAGTTTTAGATTCTTAAACATTGGGGTATGTATTGTACTAAAAGTTTTTTTGTATAGCCTTCAAAGTTATAACCTTTTGTCATTTCATTAGCCAATTGTAAAACACTAAATATAGTATTTCATTTTGATTTTCTTTAAGTTATCGAATGTAACCCAAAGCCAAAAGCTCCAAAGTTTGGATCCGTAGATTCAAAAAATAATCAATGTAGGGACACAGTGAACTATGCTTGTGATCCGTGCTATGATCTAGTTGGCAGCTCCACCATAACGTGCATTGATAGTATCAAGAATAGCATTAAGGGGACCTGGTCGGATGATCCACCAAAATGTAAAAGTGAGCCCGATTAATTGTTTATTTTTTAATTCATCAAGGATTAGAATTATTGGATAAGTATTGAGTTATTGTATTTTTAGCCACAATGTACCCAAGTCCAAGTACATATACGGATTTGTCAAGGGAATTCAAGACGCGAAGATATACCCTCGTTGTAACAAGATATAGTTTTGTTCATATGCCTTGGTTATATTCTAGAGCTTCATATTTAGGACTTCTGATATGTTTCTTATCAATTTAACATCTGCAGTAAAGTCATGTGGACCGCTTCTTATTGAGAATGCTATTGTAAATGGAGGCACTAACTGCGGCGATACGCTTACATATACCTGTGTGACTGGCTTCGAACTCGTCGGACCTGGAAGCCCAAGTGTCAAATGTACTACAAAAGGATGGGAAACCCCTTCACAAGTATGTGGTATGTACTAAACTGGGGACGATTGGTTAATTGGAAAAATATCGTAATGTCGTAAAATTATCGTATGCCCTCCCCGAGATTTTAGTAAAGTAATTAAAAACACTGGTGATGTGCAATGTGAATTACGATAACGAAAAATTACAATAACGCCACGTAACAATATGATATTTTTCAGTTTTGTCTCGGGTCATGTGACTTTGGTTCCCTGTATCAACCATAAATGAAATCAAACTTTCTTAAAGAGATCGAGTCGTCCAGATTTCTATTCTGGACAATCAGTAATGTCCCAATATTATTGCTCATAAAACATAATATATACCTTAGATATATCTTGAGACCAAATTATAAGCACGATATCGACAATATATTGAGGATATCAACAGGACAATCAAAAGAACAACCAACTGTCAGAATTGAATGCATATAAGTCGAAATCAGAATACAATGTTTTTGGGGGATTTATCTATATTGTAACCCCTTAGAAGTAATAAATATGGCTTCTCTAAGCCAAAATAATCTGAAGGAAAAAGCCAATCAGACTGGAACAAATTTGAGTGGGCTTTTTAAATTTAAATTTAAATTTCTACAAGTGGAAATTCATGGCTAGGAACAATCATCGAATTGATACTGTTAACGAATTAATTCAAGCCTTAGAATTGATAAGTTGATAAACAAACTTGTTTTACATCAAATAACACGAAAAAAGCAGGGGGTTACTCTAATTGTGTTTTTGGGAGACCCGATCTCTTTAAAAAGTGTAAATGCATATCTTCATAATATGTTAATATATCACCCCATATTGTTAAAATAACTTTCACTAACCTTCATTTACAAAAAGGAACACTTCTTTTTTAGTTTTCTTTGCTTGTTTTGCTGATTTTAGTGATGCCCAAGAGATGAAATGATGTGACGTGGAGCAATTCCAACATTTTATCAATAACATTATATGGTAACAAAACTCTACTTGTCTTTCAGTTGATAAGCGTTTACGTTGTCCAGACCCCGGGGAATTTAAACATGGAAATGTGACTGGTCCAAAGGGTCCTTTTCGTGATGGAGATACACTTACATTCACATGTGATGATTGCTACGAGTTTGAAGATGGAACCAGCGAAGATCAGGTGACAATTACCTGCACTGCTGATGGCACTTGGAACGACGTAGCACCAACTTGCAAGAGTAGGTTTATTGTTCATCGAACATGATATACTACATTACCCAGGTCATTCAGACAACTTACATGGCTAAATTCCGTGCAGCGTCGGTAGAATGTTATGACACTGGTCACCTTTATTACTGGTTGCTTTTCATTTAGTTAGATCTTGTGGACCGCTGCAGATCAAAAATGGAGATGTGACTGGCGGTAATAACTGTGGCGACACTGTGGAATTCACTTGCGACGAAGGCTTTGAAACAAATAACGGACCAGGCCCTCAGACACTTCAGTGTACGCCAGAAGGATGGGAACAAGAGGCACATTTTTGCAGGCGTAAGTCAACGGCGGTCTTCGGTATACAAAATAGCTTAGCGTTGAACGAAGTTTATTCTTTGTATTTACTAAATCTAGTAGCACAATGTATTTCCACTGGGGTGTCGATCTAAAGCAACGTCATTCCAATATTTCAAATACAGGCGTAGGCTGCCCAGATATAGGGGATATCGAGAACGGGGAAGTAACTGGTGCAACTTCCCCATTTTTATACGAGGACAATCTGATATTTACATGTGACAACTGCTACGATTTCGGAGATGGAACCAGCGAAGGCCAGGTTAGAATCACCTGTGACGCTGATGGCACCTGGAGTGATGCAGTACCACGTTGTACAAGTAAGTGGTGTCTACTGTCTAGGTCCTATAACTTGCATGGATGGACCGTACTTACATGTCAATCGTAATTACGACGTGTATATAATTTATATAGCATACCAATGATAATTTAAGCAACGAAACAACTGTGTAGCCATCCGTCAAACGCATAAGCGTTTGAGTGGCACTGCTGTTTCTCCTTATTTAGGAAAGAATTCACCGAAGTGTATTCTTTAAACGCTTTGACAATAATTATTTAACTTATTTTAGTAAAATCGTGTGGCACTCTTCTAATTGAAAATGGGGAAGCGTCTGGTGGAACGGATTGTGGCGACAGCGTAACTCTCTCTTGTAATTCTGGATATGAGCTATCAAACACTGAACCAGTTTCAGTACTCTGTACAGATAGTGGATGGGAGAGACATCGACAGACATGTTCAAGTAAGTCTAAGTATTTTATCATATTTTGCTAACAAGACCATGTGCAATAAATAGTTTCAACTATTTTCTTGTGTGTATCTAACTATAGAAAACTTTTGTATTTTAAAGGTTAACACAGAGGATGTGTTAAAACTGTTCCTTGGTTACATAGATGAAAAGCGTGTAGTATATTTGATGCAGAATAATACATTTTTGACATCCCTATCTAGTATCCCTATGACATGTAATTACATTGTTGTCTGACTCAATGAAATGTTGCTTCCTGACATCTTTAGATGGGAATGTGAATATAAATATTGTAAGTTTGTCGATACATAGCCAATATGGCAGATTGGATGATCAGTTAGTTATAGTCATATTGTTTTACTAATTGCAATAGGAGTAAAATGCCCTGAGCCTGAATCAATTGATAATGGTGCGATTGAAGAAAAACGCAGTCAATATGCTTTTGGTGACACGGTCCGCTATGCTTGCAACTCATGCTACGAATTTGAAGATGGAACCAGTGAACAGATAACAGTCACCTGTACCGCTGATGGCATCTGGACTGAGCCGTCATTGGTTTGTAAAAGTAAATACATTTCAAAGCAATATTTGTGATTTTGGTACTCGGACGGTTGGGGAGGGGAAATTAGACAGTGTTCTTTTTACGTTAGATGACGATTTGGGACTTGTGATTTGGGTCTTATGACTTGTGTACTTTTAGATGTAACTTCTTCTTGCTACTCTGTTTTTTGTATTTCCCGTAGGCACTACACATTTGTTGTTTTATGTCTGATTAAGTCTTACACGGAGTCACTATTAAAACACTTGATGCCTTATGCCATTTCTTCCTAACTAAAATATTATTTATTTCATTTTTTATGATGCATAAGATAGTTGATTCGTCACTTTGAGAGTTTGAGAGTTAGTTTTGTGTGATGGGGAATTAGTGAGTAATCTACCCTGCGTACAGAGTCTAAGCTCTCTTTTAAGAAGCGAAGTCAAACGAATGCAAAGGGTATGAGTAATCTGTTTAACTGCATAAAATTCATTGTCATTTTCAGTAAGAACCTGCGGATCAATAGAAATAGACAATGGGTCTGTTATTGGTGGAACCAATTGTGGAGACACGGCTACCTATACATGTGACCTGGGATTCGAATTGGTTGGGTCAGGTTCCCCAACTGTAAGGTGTACGAGTGATGGATGGGAAAACCCAATACCGATTTTTGTGTGTTTGGGTGGGTATTAATATTACAGTACTCGTGAAAAAATATAAGACGCGGTTTTTTTATAACATAGAATGATAATTAGATTGAACATCGAATACGATCCTGTATAAACTGTTTTTGTGAAAGGATACTTTAAAAAATAAATCAAGTTGCATACAGTGTAAACAAAAAATACAACCCTTAGCACCCAGATATATTGCTTCTGGCATGGAAGGTACATGTATGGGTCTAGTAAAACTACTTTCTGACATGGAACTTATGAAATCAAGACCACGTAATCCGATGGTATCTAAGATATAATATGTTGAACTTAAGTCTCTGACAATTCCACTGCATTCTCGCATGGTTTCTCAAAATACTGTCCTAGTTATTTGATGCTGGTTAATGGAATCAGAGAAAACTTCACTTTTCATATAAATAATATAATAAATTATTTATAGGAAAAGTGAAGTGATTCAAATTAAAGCTGAACCAAACAATTACAATTTGTCTTGTCAGAAAGTGTTTTACAACCATACCAGATTTGATTTTCAAATTTCGTGTATATACAGAAGAAATACATGGGGTAAATCGAAATGGTTAGAACATTATTATTACTACAGGCATTTATGTTTTCAATGTAATGTCAAAAAAGATTAAATGCATGAAAAACATGATTGAAATATTATTTCGCAGCAACAAAGTGTCCTGATCCGGGGCAGATTGACAACGGCGAAACAACAGGTCCACAGGGCCCATTTACACAGGGCGATACCTTAACGTTTACATGTGACCCCTGCTACGAGTTCAGAGATGGAACCAGCGAAGACCAGGTGTCAATCACCTGTAATCCTGATGGCTCCTGGACAGACGTTTTTCCTGTTTGTCAAGGTAATTCTAAGAGGGGATTGATTTGAAAACGGATGTTTTGTTCGATGGAATTTGCATGTAGAAGACTGGACGTAGTAAATTATAAGTTGTTGACTCAATAACCAACATAACTTTATTCATTGTATATGCATAATAACATCGAATTTCCGATTACCTCAGTTAAGTCATGTGGACCCTTGATCATTGAGAATGGCGTTGTCAGTGGGGGTTCTGATTGTGGTGACACAGCGACATATTCCTGCAATGAGAATTTCTACCTATCTGGACCTGGTTCTCCTACAACTAATTGCACCCCTGATGGATGGGAAGAGCCAACACAAATATGTTGTAAGTTTTAATCGATTCAGTAAGTAGTTTGCTTTTGAGTGATACCAGTGTTTGTATTTATATTACAAACTAAAGAGTCTTTGGCTGAGTTTAAAGAGAGAATCAGATATAGCGAGCAGTCATTTAGAATATTTCTGGCTAATGTCATTCCTTTTCATGACTATTTTCTAAAAATCACCAAAAATGCGCACTTTAATTCAGGAAAACTAAAGAGTTTTACAATAATGTAGTATTTTTCTATAAGAATGGTTACCATTCTTATTATTTAGGAGGATTTAAACATTTTTCACCCATTTTTGCACCTTGAAACCATTATAACTTCACCAATTTATTACATATCGTGAATCTCTTGAGAGATATTGTATTTGATATTGTAAGGAATATATCGGGAGGTCAATTGTACATGTTGCTTGTAATTATGTCACCCCCATAGATCTGATTCTGCCTTTAATTAACAATTCCTGTTTTGTAGTGCCAAATTGTCCAGACCTAGGAATGTTCCCCAATGGGAAAACGTCGTCGAGTGGGAGTCCTTTCAGAGTCGGAGAGGACGTTTCATTTGTATGTGACGACTGCTACGAATTCGAGAGTGGAACCAGCGATGAACAGGTGACAATTACCTGTAACGCTGATGGCACTTGGACTGGTGTTGTACCTGTCTGTAAAGGTAATACGCTTATATTATTCATGAATGCTAATGTAATGTTATTTCATATTTAATATGTTACCATCATACACTATAATGATAATGTTTGGCTATAATCTTACGGGCCTATCTGTAAGGTGGTATTTTTTACACAATATCTTTATTTTATATTCAACATCATAATAGGCCTTAGGCTATATTATATAATTAAGATGATAAAATTAAATAGGTAGAGAATTGATTTTGATATCAACTGACAGTTGTTGTTAATGAAATGTTGAAATAACAATTGATAGTAAATAGCAAAACATCCAATCTGCTTTGTACATTTACAGTTAAATCATGTGGACCCTTGATTATTGAGAATGGCGTTGTCAGTGGGGGAACTAATTGTGGTGACACAGTGACATATTCCTGCAATGAAAACTTCTACTTATCTGGACCTGGTTCTCCTACATCTAATTGCACCCCTGATGGATGGGAAGATCCAACTCAAATATGCGGTACATATTTTATATCTTTTTCGTCCTAACTCGATTGCAATATTTTAACAGATCTTTAATTGTAAACAGTGTATCTTCTTAGAATTCATTTACGTTCTTATTGCTTTCTAGTTGTTTCCAATTGATAAAAATTGGTTGCAACAAAAATAGAATGGTTAATAAGTGTATATTTAACTTTACAGCACCAAACTGTCCAGATCCAGGATTAATTCCAAATGGTAAAGTATCTTCGAGTGGAGGTCCTTTCAGAGTCGGAGATGACGTTTCATTTGTATGTGACGACTGCTACGAATTCGAGAGTGGAACCAGCGATGGACAGGTGACAATCACCTGTAACGCTGATGGCACTTGGACTGGTGTTGTACCTGTCTGTAAAGGTAATATATTAATATTACACAATAATGCTAATGTTATGTTATTCGACATTCAGTTGTTGTTTATGTTACTATTACATTCGATACTAGTTTTATTGAACTATCATCTAATGTTGCATTTTATCGTAAATGAGTTGAACTTGATATCAGCTATTCTTTTTGAGATTTTAATTGTTAAGAAATGTCAATCTGATTTCCGCATTTAAGTTAAATCATGTGGACCCTTGCTCATTGAGAATGGCATTGTCAGTGGGGGTACTAATTGTGGTGAAACAGTGACATATTCCTGCAATGAAAACTTCTACCTATCTGGACCTGGTTCCCCTACATCTAGATGCACCCCTGATGGATGGGAAGATCCAACTCAGTTATGCTGTAAGTTATCTGTGTTTATTTTTTTATTTAAGCAGCCTGACAATCGTCATTATTTTCAATAATAACAAGAGTACATTTTTTATTCATAATAACTGATTCTTCCAGCGCCTAATTGCCCCGATCCAGGAGTGATTTCCAATGGTGACACAATCTCGAGTGGAGGTCCTTTCATAGTCGAAGACGACGTTTCATATACTTGTGACCCTTGTTACGAGTTCAAGAATGGAACCAGCCTGCAAGTGACACTTACTTGTAAGGCTGATGGCACTTGGACTGCAGCAACACCAGTGTGCACAAGTAAATATCAAGTCATAAAACGTGTAAAGCAGGGTCGATCAATGATCAACAGATCATGCCAAACATATTTAAAGCACGGATTGGTTATAAAGTTTGCTTTTTCAAATATGTGTTGATGGTATGTGAACTTCATATGTGCCAGGGATCGCTTTCGAAATGTATTGGTGACTCCATGTATATGATGTTTTGTTTTCTTTGTCTACTTAGGTTTTCTTCTTGTAATACTCCTGGTAAGTTACCCTTTCAACACTCGTCCCTATATGTTTTTCTGTTTCTTTAGTTAAAACATGTGAACGACTGGTGGTGAATAATGGCGCATTGATTGGCGGGAACAACTGCGGAGACAATGCTTCATATTCCTGTGACAGTCTTTATGAACTATCTGGCTTTGGCCCAATCGTCATCCAGTGTACAGAAGATGGATGGGAACAATCGGATCGAATCTGCATACGTAAGTGTCTTTAAATAATTAACTAAAATATAGAATTGTATATCAATTATATACTGTACAGTATACTGTTGACGTTTAATCATGACGTTTAATAATTTCTTTTACAGTTTCAGATGTAGACTGTGTGAATCCCGGGGACGTTGCCAACGGTCGGGTAATAGGTGAAGTACAAGAAACGTTTACAAGGGGAAATTCTTTGACATACACCTGTGATACTTGTTATGAGTTCGAGGGTGGAACCAGCGAAGATCAGATGACTATTATCTGCAGAGCTGATGGCACCTGGACTGGCGCGAGGCCTGTTTGTAAAGGTAATTTAAAACGTCATTATATAATATAACCCTATAGGGTTCCTAGACGGTGATAAAAATTTTATTAAGAGATGAAAAAACTAGTGCTTTAAATATTTTGAGCTCTTTTGGTCAAAGTGTTTTCCATAGTAACATTTTCCCTAATAGCGAAGATGTATACAGTATTCAACTTACTTTGTTAAATAAGTGGCACTTGCTTCAGTTAAAACCTGCGAGGACATTGACCCACCGCAAGATGGTTTATTTGCATCGGATGTTGATAACAGATGTGGTTCGGCAATAAATGTAACTTGTAAAAGTGATTGTTTTGATCTTATCGGAGAGGAACAAATCACTTGTAGTGAGGATGGATGGAGTGAATCACCGACTTGTCAAGGTAAATGATGTTAAGGTTCTCCATATTGCCAATTTGAGATGTATCCGGCATGTGCTCCTTTGACAAGATAGCTCGTTCAAAATACATTTATTGAAAAATAACAGATAGCAGGTGCAACATTACGGTGCAAGTGTCGTTATGTCTAAGAGTCAATGATCATGTGTTCATGCTGTGAAGAAATTAATCAAATTAACTAAATATTCCACTTTCAGCGAGAACTTGTTCTGAGATACCTCCTTTTGAAAATGGTATTATAAACGATGGTGGGAATATATCCAGAACGTGTGGGAGTGCGCTACTATTCGTATGTAGTGAAGGATATATGATTGAGGGAGAAAGTTCGTTAACCTGCTCAGGCCTTGGTTGGAGTAATCCGTTCCCGTCCTGTAAACGTAATTATGATACTATCATATTGATTCACGGAAATTATATTATGAATGGATCAGTGACTGTTATAACGAACGTCATGAAGTCATCACGTATATGCTGCCTTTAAGGCCTCTTCACACATAGGCGAAAACCCCCGACGTCATCTTGCCAAAATTGAAAAATTGACACAGTTCGCAAGGTTGCGTTTAATGTTGCCCCACCTAGTCTGAGGAGGCCTTCATGTGTTTGCTGAAAAGAATATTAGAAGTGACCAAAACCCCAGAAAATCTGGAAAATGTCATGTTGAAGAACCTTAGTTTTTTATTCTTACTTGGACTTTTGTATTGATATATTACATTACCGACTCCTGTTTTTAAAGCAAATCTTTCGGAAAATTAATGGAGGATTTCAGCAAGGGGCGATTTTCAAGAATTAATTGAAAATATTTTCAAAAGAAATTTTTACACAATATACACAATCATTTGACATAAAATATATCATTAAGAACCGTACAATGTCAGAAAAATGCTGTTATTATCAAATGCTGTTTTCATCATATCCCTTCCTACTGGTTATTGTCATATTTTATATTTTTAATCTATGACCTTCTTACTAGATATCATCCCCATTTTGGATAACAATTTTTATCTAGAAGGTATCAAATAATGCCAAATTTTATCTTTTTGTTTTTAAAGAACTAAATGATATTAGCTAATTGTTGTTAAGATTATTTTACCCATGGGAAACGAGAAAGTTAAAAAACGGTTACAAACCTTGGGGAGATTTCTGTGAAAGAAAATAAACGTATATCAAACTTAATATAAAAATAGACCACTGCTTACACCCTAAATTGCTTTCATATATTTTAATTCATTGACCTGATCATGGCCAAAATAAATCAATAAATGACCATTTTATGTTTTCCTAGTAGCAAAGTGTGTGGTTACCCATAAAAGGGGTTACAGTATATCTCAGTGAATTACTGAACGGGATTTTTGTTAGGGAGTTGCTCATAAAACGACCGCTGTTTAACTCTAAAAAACTTAACAATCAAAGTTTGTCTATATTACTGTTTCAAAGCATTGAAAACAAGGGTTCTGGAACAGAACATAACGTCTTAAAGAAATTTTTGGGTTGACACTAAGGCTGCGTCTATTGGATTCCCCTATATGCGAGGGATGTCCTTATGTGTCTGCTGAAAAGAATCGAAATACGTTTGACATATTAACGTGTCTTTCTAAGACTTAGAAGAAGAAATGTGAGATTTCGAGCCATATGTCTCAAGAAAATGCTCTTACCTTTCTAGTAGGATGAGTCCAGGTGCCAAAAACAGCTGATCAAAGGATATATATCATTTTCTAATTGAAATTTTTTGTTGAGCCCTGCATTTTTAGCACTGTTTTGACAGGAAGTCATACCCAAAATGAAAACTGAATAAAACAACCTTTATCCTAAATGTAGATCAAAATACTTACTCAGACATGCAAAATGTTATTATTAGTAGTAATGCTGATCATTTTTAAGATATTTAAGCATGTAAATAAGACTTTTTTCGTCCATGATTATATAGATAAAGAATTGCTTCCTTCAGGAAGCTTTGGCAGTTTGGTGTAGTGGTTAGAGCTTTGGGCTCAAACAGACTTTTATTCCAACAGATCTGGGTTCAAATCCCTCCAGTGGAATATGTTTTTATTCTTTATTTTTGTTTTTTTTTCATTTTGATCCACAATATTTCTAAAATAAATTTTTATATATGGCACCTAAACCATATTTAGTATTTCCAAAGGTTTTAATTTTTAGATGAAATCATAGAAAGTTACTTTAAACATGTATTGCCTTGTAGAAATACCTTGTCAAGCATTTACAACACCTGAAAAAAGTGAAGTACTATCCGGTGAAAAAATAGACGGCATTTACTTTCCCGGTGACGTCATAGAGGTCAGATGCGATGATTGTCATGCTGCGGGAGGCCAGGTCATCCAATCTCTTACATGCCAGACGGGTGGGGTATGGGATATCGAACCAATACCATGTGAACGTATGTACATGTACTGTTGACGCGTTAATATATAGAGGCCATACCTAGTGAGGGGTTATTATTGGGTTTATCTTGGATGGATATGATATATTATCCTATGCCAGGTAGAGTTTTAGGGAGATAAGTTGGAAAGATATATCCCGTATCCTGACTTTGAGGTTTCCATATCCTGAACCTCCATATCTCCAGCCATATCTCCCGCTCCAGGGCATATCTTCCCGCTTCAAAAAAAAAATTGAAAAAATTGAAAAAAAGAAAAAATGTGAAAAAATACAAAATTGAAAAAAGAATAAAAAATAGAAAAAAATTTGAAAAATTGGAAAAAATTGAAAAATGTGAAAAATTGAAAAATAAAAAAAAAAATGAAAAAATGAAACAAAATTAGAAAACTCTACTTGGTATAGGATAAAACAGTTATGTACGGTCGGTTTGGATATTGGGTTCATCCCTCGTGAGATATGCACATCTACCTTCGGTCCATACGGTCCCTCAGGTAGATATGCATACAGTATCTCCCTCTGGATAAACCCCATTTCCAAAACCTCCCAGTACATAACCCGTATTTATTCCAAAAGTCGAACCACATAATCCCGACTGGGGATGGCTTTTTACACAAAAATAAAAAAGAACGTCATTAGAAAGTCAGCATTAAAAAGTTAACGGACGAAACAAAATATAGGCGTTACGAAATCCTCGAGAATGAAGTATGCGGGACATATGCTGGATCAAAACTGATTGCAAAAGATCATTCTTATGAACAAAAGTAAGGGAATTTATTCTTATTGCCTGTAGTATTGGTATGTGATGCACCACCTACCATAGAAAACGGAAGATTTAGGCCCAAGAATTTTGAATGCGGTTCTACAATTACTTACGAATGCGACAAATGTCGTATGTTACAAGGCCGAGAAAATGCAACGTGCGTCCAAGAGGGTGCTATGGCGATATGGGATCATAATACACAACAATGCATTTGTATGTATGATCGAATTCATTCAAGATAATTTGATATGAATTTCACGAGTTCTGACTTCTATAAAACTCAAATACTTGTTTAAATCAATGTTTTTTTTAAAGTGAATGTGTGTCCGACTGTCTTGGTACCTGCGGGCGGTGGTATTGAAGATGGAACGGCAGATGGTAATGTATGTGGTGATTCGGTTTCGTTCTTTTGTGAAGAGGATAAAAACCTGATAGGTGCTCAGAAAATAACATGTGAAGTTGATGGTACTTGGAATAAACAGGAACCGGAATGCAGAGGTATGTACTAAATTAAATATGATAATTACCGAGGCAAATGATAGTCAAGTTATAAGTTTAAGTTTATTCCAATCTTAACATGTTACATGTAATCAAATTCAATTTGACGCAAAGCGTATATTAGAAAAAACAAAGCCCCCTTAACTACATTTATAATTTTTTATTTACAGCGTGGTATATGTTTATTTTTTTTTAAATTTATTTATATACAATTAATGCTTTTATCAATAAGTTTATCTTTTTGATCGCAGTTGGGGAATGTCCTGTTGAGGTCCAACTCGAGAATGGCGAGATTATTTCTGGGTTGAGAGATCCAACTGATACCTATGTAACAGGCGACGTACTGGAGTATGCCTGCGATAATTGCTACGGGATAGATGGCAGTAATCTGGTTGAGTGTGGATTGGATGGGAGATGGTCTGCTTTACCCACGTGCACTTGTATGATATTTGGAGCTTTTTATTATTTATAGTCACGTGAAATATATCGAATATTTGCAAGACGATGGGTTATGAAGGAACGCGTCAAAATTCAAAATCCCCTCGCTAGCTTAAAATACGATAAATTGTTTATTCGATATGCAACTATTAGCTTGCGTTATTTTTGAATATCATTCAGTCAATAAAATATTCATTCAACAATTCATCTCAATATCACCACCCGTCATTTGTTTATATCTCTAGTGCATATATGTGGCCCACAACCGTCTGCCCCTGAACATGGATTCATCGATACAGATGAAACGGTATGTGGAACAACATTGACATACTCCTGCGAGGAATGCTACGAACTAATTGGCTCGCCCACAAGAACGTGTGGAAATGACGGACAGTGGAGCCCTATAAACCCACCTACCTGTCAACGTTCGTATTCCTAGATCATGTTCTAGTACTCAATTAAAGCTAAATCCCAGTCGTTCAATGTCAAAGAATCAGATGTACAGTCACCGGTTCAATTATCAATGCCATTTTCATTTAAGCAGAGACATAATTATATTGCAGTTAAAACGTGCTCAGAGCCACCATTCCGTCCAGACACTGTTGTTACAGGATCAGCTCGAACGTGTGGTTCTACTGTGACGTACTCTTGTGTCAATCCACCTTGTTATATATTCAGTGGTTCAGAAAGCAAAACGTGTATGCCGACTAAGAGATGGTCACCGTTTTCCGGTCCAACGTGTACAGGTGAGTTATCTAAACGATTTTTTCACTCCAAGGGACGGGCTGGTAACCCCCTCCCCCTATCACACCAAACTAGTTTTTAACCATTCTTCTCCAGTCCTAAGATAACAGTCTTAACGCCCGTAATTAATAATTTTAACGCCGTAAGTTCACGCCTGTAAATGTATTCTGAACGCCCGTAGAATTTACTTCTTCACGGGCGTAATTTACGCCTACACAGGCGTAATTTTTCGTCAGCACGGGCGTAATTTTACATCTACACGAGCGTAATTAACGCCTACACACCCGTAAACAACGCATGCATTCTTTATACTAATAGGCCAACCATAGATATCTGATTGCAAAACGTCGTATAATGACTCTAGTAGGGTTGAAGTACGGCAATTACGTTCATGGTCTAGTAGGTCATCTCGTTTGAAGTACGTTGTCAGACGATCTGATAACAGAACCCCCATGTCGCTATCGAACTTTTAGTTGATTCAAAATTCTCAATCACCTTCCCCATCCGGGCAAGTCCATTAAGTTCGTAAATAGACCATAGAGCGTTGTAGCAAGGATCAGCCAGTTCGCACACAGTTTAAAACCAGTTCGGCAACGTTTTAAAGAACGCAGTGACGACTTTTTTGGTGTGATGGCTATCTTTGTTAATTCATTCATAAACTACAAATGGTGTACTCACAACTGCAATTTCCGCCTGACTGCACAACGACGTAATGCGTCCCTAATTGACGCATTACTAGGATTGAAATCTGACAGTTCAGTTCGTAGTGTGTCCCCAGTGCGTCTAGGTCGTCTTAAGTACGTTGTCACTCGTTCTGATTGCAGAACGTGAAGTCACCAGAAACGCTACCAGAAAATTTTGAGCATGCTCTAAGGTCTGAGTGACCTACTCGTTTGGGTAGTTTGTAAACAGACACCAAACGTCTTAGTACGTCAAACCTGGACAGTTAAAGCCCGGTTTCGAGTACGTACATGTAGTGAGAACTAGTTTGATGTGATAGTAGGGTTAAGAAAAACCGAAGTAGAGATCACAATATAGCAAATGACCGTAGAGCTTAATAATATGACCGAGGCATAAATAAGCTATGGGCCTCAGGGTGGGTGTCTAATCACACCCATTAAAGAAGCTAGTGCTTAATGGTAAATTGTCTTTTTAAGTAACTTTTATAATTACTATCACTTTGATAAGAATATTTTAGCTATTTATTTTATAAATCAACGTGACAGGTTAATGGGAGCAATACATTTTTCATAGTATAATGCCATAAAGTATTTCTATAGTGACATGTTTCATTACAACTCTAGGATCTTCGTGTTAGTTTTTGACGTTTCACATGACATTCTATTTTCCACAATAAAAACGTGAGTCTCCCAAGGTAATAGCTACTTACCTTCAACGAACAGTGTTATGTTCTTGGGAAATTAATGTCTTGTTCATGTAATGACAGTAACATGAACTAAATATAAGTAACATTATACAGGGTGTTTCATAATGACTGCCTAACACGTCAATCATCAATCCTAGATGGCATATACGTACCTCCATGTGTTATATATCATATGAAAGCTCGTTCAATTCTTGACATTTTCATAAATAAGCCATATACCCAGCTGTTAAAAGCAATGATAACCAATTCTCGGAACACCATTGTACTATCTACAGTAATGTATCAGTTACAAATAGCGACCATAAATCTAGCACATTTAGGGTTATGGTGACAACCAAACATTAGTCCATAAATTATGTTCCAAAATGATCAATCATGGCAGGATTTAGCAAATATGTCTAGAATTGAAAAGGCGTTGTAATGATACATACACTCCCCTCCATAAGTTTGGCAACCTTTGCTCCCCAATTGAACTAGCCTCTTTACTTTTGAATTTTTATTTACTTAACCTGCGGTGGAAATACTTTTTTACTATTAATGGAAAGAACGTAATTTGACTTTATCTCCAATACCTCCAAATTTTCTCAATTTTTTTTCCTCAATTACAATAGGTCAAAAATTGATGATAAATTTGATGAATTTTTAATGTAAACCAATGGGAAATGGCGGGTTCGGGGCAAATCAGAAATCAGGATATCTATTCAGTAAAAGATTAAGCAAAAAAATATTTTTATATAGAAAATTGAATTGTTTAAATTTTTTTGTACATTAAGTGTTTAGTTTACTTGATGAATACTAATGCTACAGAGCTTCAAAGTCATTTTTGAAAATCATTTTCCGGCTCCTGTGTTACTTCAATGGGAGAGTTTTTTGAAAAACAATTTTGACTTTAAAGACCTATAACTTTGTTGAACCTGAAGAAACGTATCAATTTTTGGGTAAATAAAGTTAGCAAATTCAATTGCCTACCCAACTTGTATTTTTTGCAATGACTCGGATGGATGGATCTTCTGCCATATGACTTGCGGCAAACCTACCATTTCCCATTGGTTAACATGGGAATGTCGATTTTCAAAAATTTATCTTTATCATCAATTTTCGACCTATTGTAATTGAGGAAAATACAGAAAATTTGGAGGGATTGGAAATAAAGTCAAATTACGGTTCCATCAATAGTATTTTCATCGCAGGTTAAGTAAATAAAAAAGTCAAATATAAAGAGGCTTTAACACGTATTTCAATGGGGGAGCAAAGATTGCCAAACTTATGGAGGGGAGTGTAGATCCATGGACCATATGTGATTAGAATTGGCTGTGGATTGGGACGGTCATTATAAAGCACACTGTATTCATGAAGCTGTAATGTTCTGGGTACTTGCACTCTTTGATAGGCAAAACTAAGTAGGTTTGTTGTTGCTATTATAATATGATGACGTATTTTATGAATTACATAATGTTATATAACAATACTTTTTGTTTTCTCAAATACTCAATAAAACTTCATTAAACTGTATCAATAAAAACAGGATGTACACTGTATATATCCGGTATTACTATTGGTGATTTATAGGAGTTGGTTATGTCAACATAGTAGATAAATGAATAAAAATATATATGTTATCATGACATAGAAGAAAAAAATCCAGCATTTTCTGTAGTTTTATAAGGACATATGATTCCAATCTATTGGTACTTAATACTATATTTCAACATCACACTTGGGTAATAGATTCACACGGTATTTATTTGACGTCTTAAAACATAATTTCAGTTAAAACCTGTCAAAGGATCAGAGTGGATTCCCCAGGACAACTAACTCTTTCCGATTCATTCAACTGCGGAAGCGTTGCGGCATTTGGATGCGTGGATTGTTGGCAGTTAGTTGGACCAAGAAATATAACTTGCAGTGAGGAGGGATCGTGGGGGACAAATTTTCCATCTTGCCAAAGTAAGCTATACAACATGACATAGTTTTTATGAACTTTGGCCCTTTGTGCCCAAACCCCATTGTATAAAGTTTCAAAATACGAGTAGTACATCTACATGTTCAGTTGAATTAGTGTCACGGACAATGTTGTTTAGTAATGACCACATTTGAGACAACATGAGATGACGAAATTAAGGAAATCAGCATTCATTCTTGTTCTATCCTGCGATATAGTATTTCTCAAATGTTGAAGACTTGGCCTCACTTTGACTTGCAGCGGTAGTAATATATTTCATATGATGTATGTTTGTATTAACGCTAAATGTAACTATTGTTATAGCTGTGGTATGTGCAGACCCCATAAGGCCCCAAAATGGTAGGGTCACTTACTTTGGCACTGACTGTGGGGATAGAGCAGTTTATACCTGCGATCGATGTTATAGACTTGTAGGAAAACCAATCATTATCTGTCAAAGTGATGGCCTGTATAACCATGGTGGCACTTTTCCTACCTGCGTTTGTAAGTAGAATTCACTCTGTGAAGGCTGTCCTGATACCGTATTAAAGAACATATTCAGGAATTCAGTTAGTAAAGCATCTTATTTTATGAATCTTATCTTATTTATAAATCACAAATCATAAAGAGTAAGATACATATTATGTTGGCCGTATTACACGAATGAGAGACTGCAAAGCTCAGATAAAGTGTTGAACTATTTACCTCAGAGATATTTAATATAATGATTTGGTCTTTGTTTTCTTTGAAATCATTGACTTTATCCTAACCTATGATATTATGTTATTTTATTTATTTTATTTTTATTTATTTTATTTATTTAATAGTTGACCGAAGCACGTGCTAATGTCAAACCAGGCCGGGATACGCTGGCAAAGGTGGACATCGCGGGCAAGAAACCGGGAACTAGAACGAGAACGTCATCTTCATCACCACGACAATTACAATTTTTATACACGAATTATATACTACGAAACTATAAAATGACCACAATGCCAATAATCTAACACTGACAAAGATAATTATCATTCAATAATTCGTTCACAGGCAAAGCTTAAACAAAGAGCGATTAAACATCACTTTCTCCGATAGCAAAATGGTGACCTCATAAATGTTTACGAAATAGGAATAGGTAGCTGTGTGGAGGCTACTATACTTTGATGGTGACAAGAGAAAGACCGTGATCATGGAAGGCGGACATGTTTAGCTCTCAGAACAGAAAATACCTTTTCTGATTGATTCAATAAACGGCATCATTGCTATACTTTAAAATTCACCATCAAAAAGCCGTATTTTTGTTGACTGTATATTCCTCTTAAAATATAAAAATGGCTAATTCACTAATTGTAGGCTACGCAAACAGTGTATAGAATGACTATACTAAGATATCTACACCGATGGATACATGTATGGGGTACCTAAGTTAAGTAGTCATGCTAGGAATAGTGGGAATGCAATTCAACCATTCCCGTTCACACATGTGTCTTACTTGTGTAAAATTTTCACCTAAAATATATTTTGTGGATTTCTTTAACTTATAATCTCAGACATTTTGTTATTAAGTCTAACATAATATTAACAACTTAAATGGAACGGAGTATGTGATTCAATATAGTTTTACATCGTTGAAATTTTTGCATGGTTAATACAAATATTTTCAAGTTTCAAGGTTTAAAATCCTAGGTCAAAGCTAGATTGACACTTTTGCAGTCCAGTGACTTGTAAGTGTCAACTAAATGAATAAAGAACTCTTTATATACGAGTCGGAATCTTGCAGTAGGTTTCTAGATCTTACACTAGTGAACAACTCAATTACGGTTCGTTTCGGTAACAAGATGTCGAAACCTCGGAAGGTACGATTTTAATTTTTTCCTTATTTCACGCGTTGTATGCAGAATTCCTCCGACATTTTATCCCAAACGTGCATCAGTATCATATGTCTAAGAAAATGCACATGTTTGCAAACAAATAGTTCAGAAGACAACAGAATCGTCGATTTAATACCTTACTTTTGTTACGTAGACGGAACTTCAAAACGGTTAAGATCTGCACTTCTAACCCGTTCCGTTTATGTAACAATAGCGAGGTATTAAATCGACGATTCTTATGAACTCTTTGTTCGCAAACATGTACATTTTCTTAAACAACGCGGGAAATGAAAAAATGAAGTCGTACCTTCAAAGTTCCCACATTTTGCTACCGAAACGAACCGTTTCGGTAACCAGCGTAATCAAGTGGATCACCAGTGAGATATATGAAAACGAAGTTCACATCCCGATGTTTATGTATATTCCCCTTTAACCGATGATGACCCTTATAAGGTAACGACCATTTATGGACCATAGCTACTACTGTAATTATTTGTATGCAATTATATTTTGAAAAGTCCTTAATTAGACTTATAGTTACTCTTGACTTTATTCTAAGATACTTAAACTAAATATTATTTATCTTTAAAATGGAGGGGACATAATCATGTCTAAATGTCTTTGTTTTTAAAGAAATGAACTGAAAAATAGGAAACAAATACACCTATACTTAAAATGCTATAAAGTAGCTTTAATAGGAATTGGCATTTGACCATAAAGAAATAAAAACTAGTGTAATAATAGGTTTCAAGTCAAAAAGTAACCTAAGAATCAGTTATGAATAATAGTTGACCGAACTCATAAAGTATAGAAAGTAGTTTGTATGTGTAAGAATGTCATAAATAACCTCAATGAAAAACAAAATTATAATCCCCGAGAAAATGATTGAAAAGTCTCCATCTCTATAAATAAGGACTCATAGGTGATTAACGACGTGAACCGTCGCTAATGATATATTAGCCATTAGGTACATGAGCCTACTTAACTTTTGCAGATTCCTCTGTAATTTTACCCCCGTAGTTTTGTAATTCATCAATTTATTCAATATGAGAACTAAACTTTGATTAATTACTTCGACATTAATCAGATTATAATGACAGGATGGCGATTTCTAGTTATCATCAATATGTATTATTTTTTAGATATTAAAACCTTGTCAAAGACGTTGAATCTCAAGGTCCTTTTCACAAGCGTTCCCTGAATTCTATGACAAAGGTTGCTGAGAATTATTGCTATTTGACTCTCTTTGTCATAAGCGTTTCCCCGAGTTCCATGACAAGGATGCCAAAAACAGCTATTTGACTCTAATGGTCGCCATTCTCTCCATGAGTTAAATGACAAGGGTGTTGATAATTATTGCTATTTGGCTACTATATCTCGTATTATGTTCTCAAAACGTTTCACATAGTTCCATGACAAGGGTGATGATTTTTAATTTGACAACTATGGTCCCGAACGTTTCCCATGGTTCTTTGACAGTGCTAATAATTATTACTATTAGACTCTATCCCAAACGTTTTCCTGAATAAAGCAGATGCGGAGTAGGCAGTTACCAGTTTCACCACCAGGTGTCTCGTTCGGGTCAGATGGCATAGCGGGTATAGGAGAAAGTTCCCTTTAACTTAAATATTCATTTGTTTTAGTGGTTCAATTTTCTTATGTATCTAATAGTCACAGTGAATAGTTATGCAAATTGAAATAAGTCCAGTAAAAGAAAATGTTATCTGTCCAATGCAAGAAAAAATATTTCACTTTTTGTGATTTTTTAACATTTGGTCTACTGGGTATCTCCCCGAACTTAGAATTATACTTTTACATGTACATATATAGATTCCAAATATGACATCACTTTGACCAAAATTTCCCCGAATTCAATGAAAAGGGTCCTGGGTTCAGTTTTTTATTATTATTAAATTTATTTCAATAGAATACAAAAAAGTGTAAATACACAGACATGTAAATTCTTAAATCGCCACAATGGCATTATATAAGAATAGGGGGCAGGTGGAAGTAGAAGTGGCAGAGCAGGCAGGGTCTTGGACTAGGGCAAGTGTGACGGGACTATAGGATACTAAAGATGGATAAGAAGGAGGGAATTAGCTATTGTCTTGATAAAATTAACAATGAGAAGTAGTATTTTGGAATTTGCATCTATGTTTAATTTGGGAATTCCTGTTTTCAAAATAGCCATGAAATCAGTTTGAGTGAGATTATGACTGAAGATGTTTGGTTCGAGATCAGTGAGTTTGTCCTTGAACTGCTGTCTTTGTAAAGTAAGTAAGTCACATTGAAAGAGAAAATGTTTCAGAGTTTGTGGTTTTCCACAAGTGCAATTAGGGCTGTCAATAGACTGAAAGTTGTGAGCGTAGAACTGGGCTTTAAAGTATAGGTCGGCTCTCACTTTATTGAGAACTATTTCTTGATCCCTTGTTAGATTAAGCTGGCTTGTAGACAAAATCGAGGGCGTTTTTTGGAAATGTACTCTTTGGTGTTTTTTTAAATTCGAAAGAGTATTCATAGATTTAAAAGCAGGTGGAAGATTGATCCAATTTGAAATTGCAGCTGGTATTGCTGAGGTGGAGAATCTATTTGAACATCTAATGGGCATTTTAAATGCTTCATTATATCTCAATACTCTGTTTGCATGGTTTCTAAATTTGTCAAAAATATCAGTTACATAGGGAAGACTTGTACCATTTACAATTTTGAACATAACGTTGTTAATCTGGATAATGCGTCTTGATTCAAGAGTTGGCCAATTGAGTAGGTTTAAAACCTTTTTTGAACTGCTCTCTTGGATACACCCAGAACAATAAAGTGCAGCTTTGTAATAAAGACTGTCGAGTCGTTGTAATAGGAATTTTGAGGCTGTGCTGTACATGATAGCACCATAGTCAAAATGGGGTAAAATAAAGGACTTAAATATGGTTTCTAGATGCTTGCTACCTAACTTGTATTTAAGTTTCTTTAAAGGGTTCAACATTTTTCGTATTTTTGATATAATTTCTCCAATATGCTTGTCATATGATAGGCAGATGTTTGTGCTCGTGATCTCTGGTAATTTCAACATTGTTTAACTTTGAGACAGAAACATTATCGACTTTAGATCTGGATGAGTGGAATATCATTTCAGACCTCTTTTCAGGTTTAAACTCTAATTTCCAGGTGTCAGACCATTTTTCAATTTTAATTAGGTTAGATCTGACTATTGAATCTACTTCTTGTGGATGCTTAGGGTCAAAAGGTTGATGTAGAGAACTGTCATTCGCATAAATATAGCAATGCCCCTCCAGATTGTCGGGAAGGTCATTAATGTAAAGGAGAAATAATATTGGTCCAAGTATTGAGCCCTGGGGGACACCACAATTGATAAATTCATTTTCAGAATAATTTGAAATTTCCCCAGATATCTGTACAGCAATTTTTCTGTTAGTAAGGTTAGATTTGATAATTTTTTGAATTTGCCCTTGGAAGCCATATGCTGAAAGTTTATGAAGTAGTAGCTTATGTGGTACTCTGTCAAATGCTGCCGCTATATCTAGAAAAAGTGTTTTGGAAGCTTTTCCTTGTTCGAATGTGCTCTGAAGAAAATGTTCAATCGATAAAAGTTGATGAATAGTACTATGACCTGGTAAGAATCCGGACTGATGTTTGAAAAGAAGATTATTGTCAATTAAATACTTCCTGATCCGATCAGCTAAAACTTTTTCAAATACCTTAGAGATACATCTTAAAAGAGTGATAGGTCTTTAATTGTTGATGTTTGATTTGTCATTCTTCTTAAAAATTGGGCAAACATTTCCAATTTTCCAGATATCCGGGTAGGTACACTTTGATAAAAGTTTGTTGAATAAGTTGGATAAAGGTTTTGAAATGGTATGGGCTGTCAAATTCAACATTTTGTTGGTGATGTTATCTGGGCCACATGCCTTTGAGGTGTCTAAGGACAAAATTATTTTCATAACCTCGAATTGATCGGTCTGGGCGGAAATTAGAAGAGAATTAGTCCTAATTAGGAAATGGGGCAATTGATCAAAAGTTGCATCAGTATGATTTTTTGAGGCAAAGAAACTCATAAATCGGTTAGCTATATCAAGTCGTGTCCAGAGACATCGTCATAGATACTAGAAATATCATTTTTATGTAAATTGTTACCAAGGAATGATTTAATTAACCTCCAATAGTTTTTATCAGATTTATTGAGTTGATCAATTGATGAGATAGTTTTGAGTTCATGCGCCTCTTTGGCTTGGGTTCAGTGGTGATAATCGTTTTCGCTATTTGCCTCTCTTGGTCGTAGTAGTATCAGAATTTAAGTGATACGGACAAAAATGATGTCATACAAATATTTTATACTATTGAGGTGAATACCTGTTCATCTTTCAATGATACCTCAAGTCCAAGGTACAAGGAGAATTAGAAACATTGATATGCAACAGTGGATCCAACAAGATACAGCCATGTCCCATACCTGTATAATGGTGCATTATTTAGATTCGGTTTGGGACCACTTCAATGACCACAGTATTAGCTAGCAGGGCGACAGATAGTGTTTTATTTTATGGCACGTACTTTAATCTACAGCTACTTCCGGCGTATTATATATAATGTGGATTTTAAGTCATTTTGAAACCCCAGACAATATCAGATTGTCTACTAATATTCCTTAAAAGCATCCGGTCGTTTACAGATACTAAAAAACATCTTATGTCGGTAACATTCTATGACATACCGCTTGTTTACTATAAGATAAGTAAATTTAATCTTTGATTTATTATATCATCTACACCATTATGAGTAAGTTTACTAAGACCATAATATCGCATTATACAACCTCTTACGTTATTAGAATTATGGTTCAGCATGTTGTTTGGTCTTCGCTTTCTAATTCAATGTTTGCCTTTTTACCACTGTTGACATTACATTTTGAACAG